ATGCTAGAAGCTCTGAATAAAAGGTAAACTTCAACCTGTTTCGTCAATCAGTGTGCGAGCAAAAATAATGTACGGTTCGATCATAGTGAGGGAAGTGTCCGATCAAATTTTTTAACCGGTCGTAAATTCGTCCAGTGCCGTGCGAACCATAATCTTAAATATAATGAACTCACCTGAACCACTGAAGTGTAAATTTCCCAGCGCCACAAATCCTCTCTGTGTCTAGCATCTCTACAAGCTGCAAACAATAGAGAGGAGAAGTGTGACGTTACGTTACCATGGTAGCACTATTTCTGGATGATAACAAAACCAACGACGACGGCGATACTAACAAAAAACAACTTAACTTTACTCGTGCATCACGCTATTTTGTACATTTCTTTACCATTGTTGCATCACTACGACATGAAACTTCCTAATTTCATGAGTCCGCTTTATGGATTAGACGAACACAACACAAAAATTGCCGCTTTCTTTTTCTTAACTTAAATAACGATAGATACTGTCCCAAAGAAAATTTCGCCGAGATTTGCCATATTCAATGAAATCGAATAAGATCGGTGAAGTTTGAAAAAGTGCGAATAGACTAGACTCTCCTCGCTCTTAGCCATAAGGGACGTTTTGCAGAAGAGACAGCTGCGCTTCAACGACTGGAAGTCCATACTGATATTGATGAAGGAAATCAATGTTTGCATAATTAATCAGGTAGTTATGGGTTCTAAGTGTACATTAGTTCGAGTTTAAGTTTTCCTCCTGCGATCGAGCGGCAGCAAAACTCAAGTGGTTTTTCTAATGAAGAACATAATCTACAGGCTGATTTCTATCATAAGCCGAATGCGAGCCATTCCAAACGCCTATACAGATCGGGTGCCAATATTTTATCGTACTTGTGAAACGAGACAAAGAGTAGCAATATGTATGTAAGAGGTAGCGAATACTAATTAGCTGAATACCTTTGCTTTTGCTGTGGTCATCAACACAGTTGACTTGCTTTCGGGTTTACAGATTGATTTGTCATAAGTTAAATGATTAATTAAATTAATCAATAATTTAGTTAACCTTGTAAAGTTCACCTTTTAGTGAGCTTCACAACGGGTGCAGAAGAGTGTAGGCATTCTCTCGCCTTTTTAAAGTTGTATTGTCTTCAAGGGATGGTTACTATTAGGGGGTGTTTACATGAGAAAACTCGCACCTGCGCAAGTTTCATACCTGAATGGCTTCTTGATTTCGCATCGCGTGAACATGTGTTTTCCTCGTCTCATGACCAAATTGACGAAAACGCATGCGCTGCGTACCCGTTCGGCCAGTTCAGCGGCAGACCGATTTTACATCGAAACAAGTGGTCTTTTCGGGTTTACATAATACCGTTGCAAAATTTCGTACCGGAGTGAAATTCTCCCCTGTGTGATCACACCCCCTTAGTCAGAACTGCCAGGCCAGACCGGTCCAGTCTTAAAGGAGCTGTGTCATGAAAGTTCACAAAATTCGAAAAGCAGGAACCGCCACAAAATTGGGTTAAACAAAAACATATCCGCTCAAAATGTTAAAATAAGGTATAAATTACACTGCCAATACAAAAGCAGGCACGGATGGACAATCTTGAAGAAGGCTGTAACAGATTGCAATTGTGGTTTTTGAAAACTTATAATTAGCCTAGCAGTGTTTTAAAGCTCATTTTCGTTGTTTGAAACGTTTGATGTAGTGCTTGGGAAACATATTTGTTGAACACAAAGTTATCATTTTGTCATTGACGAGTAATTTCTCACTGGGTTTTCACAGCAAGTAAGGACACGTAACTTACGTTTTAAACAAATCAATAAGACAACCGTGACACAGCCCTTTTAATCCTTTAAACCCTAAGAGTGATCAGCATCAAATTTCTTCTTGTAATATCAATGCTTTGTCAAACAGAGTGGTCATGAGAATTAGGGACATGATCACACAAGATGAAGTTGCTTGATATTTTATCAACTTCTCCCCACCACTTCCGTAGGAAATGAATAGGGGCAACAAATGAGAATTCAAATTTTGATCTTAGGGTTTAAAGGGTTAAAGATAATTCTAATTAGTCAGGCCTGTCATAATATGCGTAAGGAGACGCCTTTTTCTCTCACTTTTTTTTTTTTACACTTTTCAAGCGGAGGCAGCCGGACCAGAAATGAGGCTAAGTTTGGAAGCTAGGCCATAGGCTATCCAGCCCGATCAGCTTGTTCCAAAACACTGCTCAAAGTTCGTAATAATAATTGGGCTAATGCGAATTTTTTCGAAATGTTTCATTTTCATAAGTGCCCTAACCATGAAATAACAAAAAAACAACTTACCCACGAAGAAATGCTGCCGTTTACACTCGCGTAATCTGGGGAACTTGCGTCAAACATGTCAAAGTGAGTTCTGAAATTGTTGTTATTGATCCGGATCCATATCATGACGTCGTAGGCTGTAATTGGTTGAAAAAGTGTTCATATTCACATTTAAGACAGATCACCGGGGAACAATCATGCATGCCGATCCATTAGTAAAGTCGTTGCCGCTACTTCGAACGCAGGCGTATTTCCGGTCGTCGCTTCTCTCCATCCAAAAAGTAATGTCAGCGAACCCGAGCCGCTCAACATTTTTGTGACGTAGGACGTTATTAGCCAATCACAGTTTAGCTCTTAAAAACCAAGAGCTAACTCGCAAGAACTCACGCAAGATCGTTTCTTTTCAGGTGGAATGAAGCGACGACCAGAAATACGTCTGCGCTCGCATGCTACTATTATCAAGCATACTAATTTTGACTAAATATTAGCAGACTTCATACTTAAAGGAACATGTTCACGGTTAAGCGAATGCTCACTAGTCAAATTACTTTTTTCCAATTTATCATTAATTCTATTGGTTAATAATCCTGCTCACATGTATCTCAGCGATCTCAGAGTGTATTTCAAAGTAGAAGTGTTTTTCAGAGTAACTTGAAGTGGGATGGAGGAGTTATAAAATCGCACAACAAATTATGCCAACACTAACGTTGAATTTGTTGTTGACCCGAAGGTTTTATTCCATGGTTGATTAACGTCGGACGCAGTATTTCGAAACGATTTTGCTTTTAGCGGAAAGCCATTGATCTTCTAAACCAGATGAGGTATATTTTATGGGTGGTGGCGCTGCTGGAAGCCTGTGACGTCACCAACAATAGTCGCCATCTTGGATTTTACCAAGAATTAGGAATCAGGTTAAAACCGCTACAAATAGTATTTTTTGTGCTTTACATGAAAAATAGCACATAAATAAGCACTTTGCATGATTTTAGCTACAAAATTTACTTTTATTGTTAAAATAAACATGTATTTTCACCCAAAAATGGCTTGACCACCTGCTACTTACGACGTCATATCTCGTAACCATAGCAACTGACCATCACTGAACTTGTCTCAAAATGTGCGCGAGGGATCAACGAACAGCTACTGAAGGCGTCTGGTGTTGATTTTTTATCCTTTAGGAAAAAATTAAAAAAGAAACCTTACGGGGAGGGGTTGGGGGTAAATCCACCCCCCTTGCCCCCACCTTCTACGTCCGAAGGGTTAATTACCAGCTCTTTGCAAATATTTAAGTTGATCAAGTGCAAGTGACTGCCAGGGGAGTGTGCAGATTGATTCTTTGACAACATTTTGACACGATCATTTTGCTTGCTTAGACGATACAACATGTACCGGCAGAAAAACAGCATTTTGATAAATGAGCATGCGCTGAACCGTGAACCTGTCCCTTCAACTCTGAGGATGACGGGAATTAAACAATAGGCATAGACTACTCATTTCTGACTGATCAGAATCTTAGTCAATGACATTTCTTTGGTATACTCCTCTGCATCGGTCCAGCGACTTGCCACCATGTGACCACCATAAAATCGCACTGTTTTGCGCTTATAAAACCTAAAAATTGTCACTTCGAGTATTTGTTTCATCCTATTTCAAACTTGAGAATATTTATTTATTTATTTATTCATTTAGAAAAATTTAGTTACCAACAAAACTAACAAAAACAAAGACGAGAGCCGCACAGCAAACAGAGTGACCATTCAGTTTAAGTGTCCCCTTGAGAAAAGTTTGAATATATTTGCATGATTTTGTATGACAATATAAGTTTTCAGACTCTTATCTAATGATTTTGGCATGATATAAATCACGTGACCTCTAGCATAATCGAGTTATGAAGTTAGTTCTTCTTCAAGACTCTCCTGGGTGGGATAAATTGATCAGAAAAAAGCACAACGCTATCATGGTTTTTAAGTCTTTACATAACCTTTCTCCGGTGTATAGCAACAAAATATTTCGCAAATTCAATGCCTATTATGATTTGAGAAACTCCGCAAGTTACAAACTTGCGTGGTCTAAGCCTAGAACCTAAAGTGCAGCTTTTCCTAAAGTGGTCCTGCCCGGTGGAATTCTCCGTGTCAGGATCTTAGGGAGCGTAATAAACCCTCTGGAAGTTTCTACAGAGAAACTTGTAACTTACTATTCTTCTTTAGGCTCCCACACGGCAATCGTTTAAATCAATTTGGTTTGAGTAGTTTATATTTGTTTAGAATATATTTTTAACGATGGATTCCTGTGTATAAATAAATAAAGCTTCAAAGGGCTTATTAAAGACCTTTAGATTCGAGGAAAATGACGTAAGAGGACGAGATTTGACTTCAAGGTTTTTTTTCGAGTATTCTCCAAAGCAAAAAATTAAAAAAAAAGGACATCCCGGAAAGATTCATTTTACTTTTTTTCACCAGAAAAAATAACAAGGATATTTTTTAATAAGGAGGTTAAGTCCTCTTCTTTTAGCAAAATGATAAAACTTCTAACATTTGACAACTTGTTCCAGTCACTACGATATTTTCGCTTAAATCCAAAGTAGAATGACGATGCCTACCACTGTTCCCGCCAAAATAACCCTGGCTCACGCGCGCACTACTTAATAGAGAAAATCTTATTGGTTCTCATGTTGGTCTCCGTCTTAGAATCTAAAGGTCTCTACTGATAAACTTTCTTACCGTAGTCAAAAGTGTAGACGTTCATCTTTGTAGAGCTACCATATCCGTTTCCACATTTCGTTAAATAATAGTAGCACCTACTGTAACAATGATAATAACAGTAGTAGTAGCAATACTGATTGGTTGTCCTCTCATAGCCGTAGTAAGAGTAATCACTCTCTGTCCAGGAGGATCGGCATTCTCCATTATCGAACAAAGCGAAGTATTTGTAGCCCCTGCCCATGGCAGCCTGTGCACACTTTGTAACTTTGTTGCTCCTGGAGGAGTGGCCATCCAGCAAAGCAATATCTTGTCCTTCAATGGATGGCACTCGAGGAGTGTAACTACTGGATGTCTTGAAGCAATAGTCAAGTCTGTCATAATACACTAGTAAATAATAATGCAGAAAATTGTTAAGTCATGTTCAGGAATGAGAGTAATGGGAGAGAGGGAGAATCTCAGGGCGTTGGCCGGGATATATGAATTTCTCAGTTGCCCCACTCTTAACACTATCTGGAATGAGTGCAATTTGCATTTCAGTAGTCCAATCAAAAAGCTGTTTCCTCCCTCTGGGACTTACCTATTTTGTCCGGATTTGGCTGACTGATCGTGAAATTACGTATAACAATTTTGAAATATCACTCGTGGTATTTAGGCCAAATATCACTACTAATCATGCTATTACCTATACTTATAGCCAGTTTGTAGACTTTTGTATTTCCTTTGTTGTAAGCAAAAAAAGAACAAAGGCTATAAGAGCTAGCCTATATGCATTAATCAATATGGACTATTATGAGGCAATGAGTTTGTGTAATCAAATGGTGACGACATTAACGAATAATATCACTTGCGTTTTGTCCAAATCCTAATAATTTCTCTCGCATTTTGGACAAAACGCAAGTGGTATTATTCCCCAAATTCACGAGTATACCATTCGATCACCTTTAATATCATCGGTGACGAATTACGTTCGCAATTGTGGATTTTTTTAATCCTGCTTTCATCGATTGAAAACTCCCCGCCCTTTAAGGTTTAGTCTAAGAGCTTAAATTTGGCTTAAGTTAAGAATTTTCTGTTAAACTCCTTTTTGATGTGCCCTTTCGTGTGTTTAGGTTTTCTGAATTAAGCGTCTTTTAATGCCCTCACATCTTCATTTAAAACATTTGAAAAATTCGTCGCCATAATGGCACTGAGGCGTACGGAAGGTTTCCGTCGAAATTGTGTAATTTCACGTGCGCTGAAATTTCTCACCAGAATTAAGGGGTAATTTGTCACCCATGACATAATAATAATTTTGAAGGTTGAGTAATTGTAATGAGCAAGCCCAGCATATTTGAAAAGGTGTTTGACTGATGCTTTGTTGAGAAATTGCCTCGTTAGCCAATCCCCACTTACCGTAGTAGGTTTGAGCTTTTAAAGAGCAGTTCCACGTTGATTCAACAGTTGGTAAATGTTTAAAGAAAAGTAGCCACAATGGAAGCGTTATCGGCCAAACACGTACACTCGCCATTCAAAACAGTTCTATATAGGAATGATATCAAGCATGTTAAAGTTAAAACTGAGGAAAGAATGGCTAGTTTAATGGAAAAAAAATCATGTTTACGAATCAGTGCAAAACAAATTCATTTCACTCTTGTATTTGTATTTTATTTTTTTACTCCATCCTATAGATAATACATTAGCTGTACAATATCAATTAGTACAAGGTCGTTTAAACGACGTGTACATAAGAAAAAAAGAAAGAAAAAGAAAATTGGAATGGAGAAGGGCACATTATAGTAAAACTAATTATGGCCCTTTAACAAGATTGACTTTATTCTAATATAGCTTTGTTATTCATTAAAACACAAACACGCACGCACGCACGCACACACACACACGCACACAAGTCAATATTGAGTAAGATAATATTTTTTAAGTGCCTTTTTGAACATGATTTTCGATGATTTATTGCGAATAGAAAGGGGGATATCGTTCCAGTAGTATTTTCCAATGACGGTAGTGCAAAACTTTCGAATACTAATTCTTGAGTGGGGAATGTGTAATTGCTGAGCAGATGCAGTTGGTGCAAAATAATAATGTTGCTCAGATACAAGAAATAATGGAAAACTACACGGCTTATTATCAGAGACATAATCATATAAAAACAAACAATTGTAAATTTTAATAATATCACGAAATTTTAATAAACCTAGTTGAACATAATGAGGAGTGATATGATCTCGTAAAGGAAAGTCATTCATTGTTCTTTATTTTGTAAACGTATGAGCGTAGTGACAATGGATTACCATAATTATCTCCCCACAATAAGCAACCATATATGAGATAAACTAGAACCACCAGCTTATAAACTAGAATCACCACCTTATTCTGATAAGTTTCTTTTTCATGGCACTTACGTAATCAACAATATTAGCATTATGCCTCATTTTTCCCGTTCTTCTTCTTGCTAACTCAATATCAGCTCAACTTCTTAATTTTACCGAATAATTATTGCTGCCGAAGAAGAGTCCTTTCCTTTAATGGTCGGGGAGGGCAGTTTTTAAGCTTAATCATATTAATGGACTGATAATAAAACCGAAACGAGACTCGGTTCATATGAATGCGGCTGTTCACTCGGTGAATCTTCTTTATATATGCTGTCTATAGGTAGCCATTACGACTCCGGAAGGAGAATCTCAGGAGGTTATCCCTATATTAAATATCTCTCCTTGCCGGATAATCCACCCAGCGCGCCAAGAAAAGGTTGGCCACACCACTACCAGGGTCTACGTGCCCTACTCAAGTGAAAGTGCTGTGAGACGGGACCTCCCCTTTTTTTTTGTCCTTATCGGAAAAGACTAGAAAGTCTAACAGTTTGCAGATGTTATTGCAAAGGCAGCAGTTTCTTCTCAGTCATTTAAATACCCTTAGTGTTGTTCCGGCCAGGGTTTGAACCCGTGACTTCCCACTCAGCATGCAGACCAGCGCTCTCCCAAATGAGCTAATCAGGCGATAGTCAACCTTGTAAGTAGAGCCATTATCTAGATTTTGAAGTTTAACATTGTTTCGCGCCCTGCTACACCGGAACAAAGTCGTGGGGTGGCAACTAAGAAGTCAAGAAGTACTTGTAAAATTCGCTGAAACCAGTACAATGGCATTTGATCATCTCAGCCAAAACACGACGCTCAGAACGAAGCAACGCAAAGCAACTAATTAACCGTTTTTCTATATCGCTGCAGGTCGTTTCCTTGTCAATAACATTCTTTTCAGTTGCAACTTATACCTTCGTTTTCGCTCTGAAACAGATGCAATATATGAAGATATTTTGTTGATTCACCCAATTAGCTGTTTTTTTATATGTCGCTGCGTGTCGTTTCAATAACATAGTTTTCAGATGCAATTTATGCTACCTTTCCTCCAAAAAATAGATGTAATAGAGTACCACAAATGGTTTTGTTTTTTTAAGTCGACAGAAAACAAAAAGATAAAGAAGTTTATTACTTTTTCACATCGTTTTCCGGCAGTTGCAATGCAACCAGTTATCTTTCAATTTAACAAAAATACCAAAAAATGTGAAAAACGAAGGATATCAACCAACTTTTAAAACTTCTTGAGATAAACTTAATAACTTTTAACTGTTTCACGTCTTCTTTCAAGCCGGTCCAAAATTTAAAATATTTCAGTCTTGAGGACGATTTGAAAGAAAATTGCAATTAAACAAAAATATATTTTTAAAAAATGCTGCTTAATTCCGTTACAGCTGCTTCATTTGTCCTCAACCTTTTTTTAATTTTCTTCCAGCTGCTTAATTTTGTCTTTGGTTTCCCCTGTCTATCAGGCGTTTTTTGTAGCTTTTGCTGTGATGGTTTCCTCTTATTTCGAAACAAATTCAAGCTGAAACAAAATTAATTTGGGCTTTTAAAGGGGTTATAAATCGTCCCATCTATTAACTATAATTTTAGTTGGTAAATTGTGAAGAAAACATTGAATTTCTCCGTTATCTGGATTAAATTTAGTGCTTTCGTCATAAACGAAAAAGAAAAAAAAAAAGAAAAAAAGGAAGAAAGAAATAAAGAAAGAAAGAAAGAGAGAAAGAAAGAAAGAAAGAAAATTTATAATTGCTTGGCAGTTAGTTAAGAGCTCACCTTGCTGGATGTTTTTGGTACGATGAAAACTAAATTAGGAATGTTCACGGCGGTGTGTTCCCCTTATGGGAACAAGTAGTTAAAAAGGTCATCCTTAAAATTTCACAACAAACGAAGACTTTGTTGGTGAAAAATACAGGCACAAAAGTTGTTTGAGAAAGTTACCGGGAGGGAAAATTCTGACAAAGTTGATATGAACTTATTAAAAATGTTAAAAAAGTAATAACAATACTTACCAGGTAAATATCTTCCAGAGTTAAAGAAAGTACAAAGCTGTTTGCGTGTACATGGCTTATGTATTTGTGTAGTTAAGGATCGCTATGTCCTGATAAAAGTCTCAGGGAACAATTCTACTATTTTCTTTTATTAAAGTTTTAGATCTGCGGCGGTGCTTTTGTTAATCACCACTCAATTGTTTTCTGGCTTTGCTTTTGGCAAACTTTTTATTATTATTTGAGATTCACCGTAATCAACTCTCACTCCATCACAAGCCTCAGCGTTCCGGAAGTTAAAAAATGTGTAGCGTCTGGTTGCTATGTAGTGACGTAATCATTCAGTTGAGTATCTATCATCGTAACACTTTTGCGGTCAACTACCGCAGCGCTCATAAAGTACTTTAATCAAAAATCGTGTTCAAACCCCTGTGGAGGAAGTCTGTTTATTTTTGAGTTGATAAATACACTTCTCACGTTCACGAGGTTCAATTTTGCATAAATTACCAAAAATTTTCTTAAGCGGGAAATCTACCTATGGTTCGCGGGAAACGGAACTCTTTAGCAAGCCCAGCATATTTGAAAAGGTGTTTGATTGATGCTTTGTTGAGAAATTGCCTCGTTAGCCAATCCCCACTTACCGTAGTAGGTTTGAGCTTTTAAAGAACAGTTCCTCGTTGATTCAACAGTTGGTAAATGTTTAAAGAAAAGTAGACACGATGCAAGCGTTATCGGCCAAACACGTACAGTCGCCATTTAAAAGAATTTTATATAGGAATGATATCAAGCATGTCAAAGTTAAAACTGAGGAAAGAAAGGCTAGCTTAATGGAAAAAAAAAATAGTCATGTTTACGAATCAGTGCAAAACAAATTCATTTCACTCTTGTATTTGTATTTTATTTTTTTTACTCCATCCTATAGATAATACATTAGTTGTACAATATCAATTAGTACAAAATCGTTTAAACTACGTGTACATAAGAAAAAAAAAGAGAAAAGAAAATTAGAATGGAGAAGGGCACATTATAGTAAAACTAATTACAAGATTGACTTTATTCTATTATAGCTTTGTTATTCATTAAAACACAAACACGCACGCACGCACGCACACACACACACGCACACAAGTCAATATGGAGTAAGATAATATTTTTTAAGTGCCTTTTTGAACATGATTTTCGATGATTTATTGCGAATAGAAAGGGGGATATCGTTCCAGTAGTATTTTCCAATGACGGTAGGGCAAAACTTTCGAATACTTGAGTGGGGAATGTGTAATTGCTGAGCAGATGCAGTTGGTGCAAAATAATAATGTTGCTCAGATACAAGAAATAATGGAAAACTACACGGCTTATTATCAGAGACGTAATCATATAAAAACAAACAATTGTAAATTTTAACAATATCACGAAATTTTAATAAACCTAGATGAACATAACGAGGAGTGATATGATCTCGAAAAAGAAAGTCATTCATTATTCTAAATGGATTACCATAATTATTTCCCCACAATAAGCAACCATATATGAGATAACCTAGAACCACCAACTTATAAACTAGAACCACCAGCTTATTTTGATGAGTTTCTTTTTCATGGCACTTAGGTTATCAACAATCTTAGTATTATGCCTCATCTTTCCCGTTCTTCCTGTTGCTAACTCAACATCAGCTCAACCTCTTAATTTTACCGAAAAATTATTGCTGCGGAAGAAGAGTTTTTGTCTTGCCCTTTCTTTTAATGGTCAGGGAGGGCAGTTTTTAAGCTTAATCATATTAATGGACTGATAATAAAACTGAAACGAGACTTGGTTCATATGAATGCGGCTGTTCACTCGGTGAATCTTCTTTATATATGCTGTCTATAGGTAGCCATTACGACTCCGGAAGGAGAATCTCAGGAGGTTATCCCTATGTTAAATATCTCTCCTTGCCGGATAATCCACCCAGCGCGCCAAGGAAAGGTTGGCCACACCACTACCAGGGTCTACGTGCCCTACTCAAGTGAAAGTGCTGTGAGACGGGACCTCCTATTTTTTTTTTGTCCTTATCGGAAAAGACTAGAAAGTCTAACAGTTTGCAGATGTTATTGCAAAGGCAGCAGTTTCTTCTCAGTCATTTAAATACCCTTAGTGTTGTTCCGGCCAGGGTTTGAACCCGTGACTTCCCACTCAGCATGCAGACCAGCGCTCTCCCAAATGAGCTAAACAGGCGATAGTCAACCTTGTAAGTAGAGCCATTATCTAGATTTTGAAGTTTAACATTGTTTCGCGCCCTGCTACACCGGAACAAAGTCGTGGGGTGGCAACTAAGAAGTCAAGAAGTACTTGTAAAATTCGCTGAAACCAGTACAATGGCATTTGATCATCTCAGCCAAAAAAAGACGCTCAGAACGAAGCAACGCAAAGCAACTAATTAACCGTTTTTCTATATCGCTGCAGGTCGTTTCCTTGTCAATAACATTCTTTTCAGTTGCAACTTATACCTTCGTTTTCGCTCTGAAACAGATGCAATATATGAAGATATTTTGTTGATTCACCCAATTAGCTGTTTTTTTATATGTCGCTGCGTGTCGTTTCAATAACATAGTTTTCAGATGCAATTTATGCTACCTTTCCTCCAAAAAATAGATGTAATAGAGTACCACAAATAGTTTTGTTTTTTTAAGACGACAGAAAACAAAAAGATAAAGAAGTTTATTACTTTTTCACATCGTTTTCCGGCAGTTGCAATGCAACCAGTTATCTTTCAATTTAACAACAATACCAAAAAATGTGAAAAACGAAGGATATTAACCAACTTTTAAAACTTCTTGAGATAAACTTAATAACTTTTAACTATTTCACGCCTTCTTTCAAGCCGGTCCAAAATTTAAAATATTTCAGTCTTAACGATATTTTAAGAATGAAAGGATACACAGTGATCATTAAGCAGCTAATATTTTCCGAGATATCACAGGTTTCTCATTCTATTACCAAATAATAGCGACTGTACAAATGCAACACCAGCCGAAGAAAAACAACAATAAAAAAGGATCCTAAAAGAAAAAAGAAATGTAGCTTGAGGACGATTTGAAAGAAAATTGCAATTAAACAAAAATATATTTTTAAAAAATGCTGCTTAATTCCGTTACAGCTGCTTCATTTGTCCTCAACCTTTTTTTAATTTTCTTCCAGCTGCTTAATTTTGTCTTTGCTTTCCCCTGTCTATCAGGCGTTTTTTGTAGCTTTTGCTGTGATGGTTTCCTCTTATTTCGAAACAAATTCAAGCTGAAACAAAATTAATTTGGGCTTTTAAAGGGGTTATAAATCGTCCCATCTATTAACTATAATTTTAGTTGGTAAATTGTGAAGAAAACATTGAATTTCTCCGTTATCTGGATTAAATTTAGTGCCTTCGTCATAAACGAAAGAGAAAAAGAAAAGAAAAAAAAAGGAAGAAAGAAAGAAAGAAAGACAGAGAGAAAGAAAGAAAGAAAGAAAGAAAGAAAGAAAATTTATAATTGCTTGGCAGTTAGTTAAGAGCTCACCTTGCTTGATTTTTTTTGGTACGATGAAAACTAAATTAGGAATGTACACGCGTTGTGTTTCCCTTATGGGAACAAGTAGTTAAAAAGGTCACCCTTAAAACTTCACAACAAACGAAGACTTTGTTGGTGAAAAATACAGGCACAAAAGTTGTTTGAGAAAGTTACCGGGAGGGAAAATTCTGACAAAGGTGATATGAACTTATTAAAAATGTTAAAAAAGTAATAACAATACTTACCAGGTAAATATCTTCCAGAGTTAAAGAAAGTACAAAGCTGTTTGCGTGTACATGGCTTATGTATTTGTGTAGTTAAGGATCGCTATGTCCTGATAAAAGTCTCAGGGAACAATTCTGCTATTTTCTTTTATTAAGTATCTCTGATAGTTTTAGATCTGCGGCGGTGCTTTTGTTAATCACCACTCAATTGTCGGCTTTGCTTTTGGCAAACTTTTTATTATTATTTGAGATTCACCGTAATCAACTCTTACTCCATCACAAGCCTCAGCGTTCCGGAAGTTAAAACATGCGTAGCGTCTGGTTGCTATGTAGTGACGTAATCATTCAGTTGAGTATCTATCATCGTAACACTTTTGCGGTCAACTACCGCAGCGCTCGTAAAGTACTTTAATTAAAATCGTGTTCAAACCCCTGTGGAGGAAGTCTGCTTATTTTTTAGTTGATAAATACACTTCTGACGTTCACGAGGTTCAATTTTGCATAAATTATCAAAAATTTTGTTAAGCGGGAAATCTACCTACGGTTCGCGGGAAATAGAACTCTATAGCAAGCCCAGCATATTTGAAAAGGTGTTTGATTGATGCTTTGTTGAGAAATTGCCTCGTTAGCCAATCCCCACTTACCGTAGTAGGTTTGAGCTTTTAAAGAGCAGTTCCTCGTTGATTCAACAGTTGGTAAATGTTTAAAGAAAAGTAGACACGATGGAAGCGTTATCGGCCAAACACGTACAGTCGCCATTTAAAAGAATTTTATATAGGAATGATATCAAGCATGTCAAAGTTAAAACTGAGGAAAGAATGGCTAGCTTGATGGAAAAAAAAAATAGTCATGTTTACGAATCAGTGCAAAACAAATTCATTTCACTCTTGTATTTGTATTTTATTTTTTTTACTCCATCCTATAGATAATACATTAGTTGTACAATATCAATTAGTACAAAATCGTTTAAACTACGTGTACATAAGAAAAAAAAAAAGAGAAAAGAAAATTAGAATGGAGAAGGGCACATTATAGTAAAACTAATTACAAGATTGACTTTATTCTATTATAGCTTTGTTATTCATTAAAACACAAACACGCACGCACGCACACACACCCACACAAGTCAATATTGAGCAAGATAATATTTTTTAAGTGCCTTTTTGAACATGATTTTCGATGATTTATTGCGAATAGAAAGAAGGACATCGTTCCAATAGTATTTTCCAATGACGGTAGGGCAAAACGTTCGAATATTAATTCTTGAGTGGGGAATGTGTAATTGCTGAGCAGATGCACTTGGTGTAAAATAATTATGTTGCTCAGATACAAGAAATAATCGAAAACTACACGGCTTTTATTATCAGAGACGTAATCATATAAAAACAAACAGTTGTAAATTTTAACAATATCACGAAATTTTAATAAATCTAGATGAACATAATGAGGAGTGATATGATCTCGAAAAGGAAAGTCATTCATTATTCTAAATGGATTACCATAATTATTTCCCCACAATAAGCAACCATATATGAGATAACCTAGAACCATCAACTTATAAACTAGAACCACCAGCTTTATTTTAAGTTTCTTTTTCATGGCACTTAGGTTATCAACAATCTTAGCATTATGCCTCATCTTTCCCGTTCTTCCTGTTGCTAACTGAATATCAGCTCAACCTCTTAATTTTACCGAAAAATTATTACTGCGGAAGAAGAGTTTTTGTCTTGCCCTTTCTTTTAATGGTCAGGGAGGGCAGTTTTTAAGCTTAATCATATTAATGGACTGATAATAAAACTGAAACGAGACTCGGTTCATATGAATGCGGCTGTTCACTCGGTTAATTTTCTTCATATATGCTGTCTATAGGTAGCCATTACGACTCCGGAAGGAGAATCTCAGGAGGTTATCCATCTCTCCTTGCCGGATAATCCACCCAGCGCGCCAAGGAAAGGTTGGCCACACCACTACCAGGGTCTACGTGCTCTACTCAAGTGAAAGTGCTGTGAGACGGGACCTCCCATTTTTTTTTGATCCTTATCGGAAAAGACTAGAAAGTCTAACAGTTTGCAGATGTTATTGCAAAGGCAGCAGTTTCTTCTCAGTCATTTAAATACCCTTAGTGTTGTTCCGGCGAGGGTTTGAACCCGCAACTTCCCGCTCAGCATGCAGACCAGCGCTCTCCTAAATGAGCTAATCAGGCGATAGTCAACCTTGTAAGTAGAGCCATTATCTAGATTTTGAAGTTTAACACTGTTTCGCGCCCCCCTACCCCGGAACAAAGTCGTGGGGTGGCAACTAAGAAGTCAAGAAGTACTTGTAAAATTCGCTGAAACCAGTACAATGGCATTTGATCATCTCAGCCAAAAAAATATAACCTGAAAAATACTGTCAGTTTTTTTTACGCTTTGTGTGCAATATTTTTCCATGACGTTTAAAAAACGAAGCAACACAAAGCAACTAATTAACCGTTTTTCTATATCGCTGCAGGTCGTTTCCTTGTCAATAACATTCTTTTCAGTTGCAACTTATACCTTCGTTTTCGCTCTGAAACAGATGCAATATATGAAGATATTTTGTTGATTCAACCAATTAGCTGTTTTTTTATATGTCGCTGCGTGTCGTTTGAATAACAGTTTTCAGGTGCAATGTATGCTACCTTTCCTCCATAAAATAGATGTAATAGAGTACCACAAATAGTTTTGTTTTTTTAAGACGACAGAAAACAAAACGATAAAGAAGTTTATTACTTCTTCACATCGTTTTCCGGCAGTTGCAATGCAACCAGTTATCTTTCAATTTAACAAAAATACCAAAAAATGTGAAAAACGAAGGATATTAACCAACTTTTAAAACTTCTTGAGATAAACTTAATAACTTTTAGGTCCATTGAAGTATCTTGAAACTGTTTCACGCCTTCTTTCAAGCCAGTCCAAAATTTAAAATATTTCAGTCTTAACGATATTTTAAGAATGAAAGGATACACAGTGATCATTAAGCAGCTAATATTTTCCGAGATATCACAGGTTTCTCATTCTATTACCAAATAATAGCGACTGTACAAATGCAACACCAGCCGAAGAAAAACAACAATAAAAAAGGATCCTAAAAGAAAAAAGAAATGTAGCTTGAGGACGGTTTAAAAGAAAATCGCAATAAAACAAAAATATATTTTTAAAAAATGCTGCTTGATTCTGTTACAGCTGCTTCATTTGTCCTCAACCATTCAAGTTTTAATTTTCTTCCAGCTGCCTAATTTTGTCTTTGCTTTCCCCTGTCTATCAGGCGTGTTTTTGTATTTTTTGCTGTGATGGTTTCCTCTTATTTCGAAACAAATACAAGCTGAAAGAAAATTGATTTGGGCTTTGGTCAGCTTTGTCGTTGAACTACACGAAAGCAAAGCAAAATGTCCTCCTAATTTCTGGCGAGATTAAAACTGGTATCTGAGTAAAATAGTGTAGGAGGTTTACGAGCAACTTGCTCGCTGAGCGTAGAGGTACCAGGTATCTGAGTTTACATCTTGTTGTTCTTTAATCTTTACAGCAGCTCATATGTAACTAACGTCAACTTCTCTCAACTAATTCTACTAGCTAACACAGCGAATTAAATAACGAAATTGTGGACGTGTTTGGGTTAGCTGACCATGAGACCCTACCATTGCATATTCTGTCACTGAACTTGTGAACCATAGAATAGTCTACACGGTCGCAATCAACAAGTACTAAAGAGCCAATTGAATGCTAGCGGTAAAACTGCTACAAAACGGAACTTCAGTGGAGGCAAAACTCAAGGTCAGCTATAATCCCCCAACATGCTTACTTCAAAGAACTACGATAAGTTTAACAAATCCTTTCCGTAGACGATACTTCCCAAAACTTAGGAACTAACCGTGTGGCCTATACATTGAATTTCCTTGGACTATGAACTGTTTATTAAGAAACTAGCACGTGGTACAAAATAATCATTCGGATAGAAAAACCGTAAAAATACCAAAACTCCAAAACAGAACTAACAGCAACTACTTCATAACAATAGGTATACTGCGAGCGTAACGTAATCTGATGTACTTCTTTTATTTGTTGTTTACATTGTTTAGTTTATTTCTCTTTTGGATCATTAGACCCTTTAAAAGCCACTCCCTATGAATCTCACACCAATTGACGCCGACCAGTTTACTCGTGGCCGCTTTTTGAGGTTTATATATATATTATGGCTACAATTGATTTCTACGTGTACTTTTGTATCGCTCTTGGTGATATGCTGACTCCGTTTACTTTGTTAATTTTTGCTCTGAACATGTAGCGTTTGCTGGTACACTGTAACTTTATTTCTCGCATATATCCCTTATTTTGGTGGTTTTGTTGTAACTCTTATTCGTATAATAAACTCGATTGCTGGCAGCTCCGTCCATATATCATTGTGCTGTTTTGTTTGTTCATACTTGTGACAGAAGTATTTTAAATTCGGCTGAGCGTGGCGAGGAGAATAGAAACAAACTTAAAGAGATTAACCAACACTTGTCAGGTGCGTCTTCTTTATTAAAAAGATAGTTACGGTTCAATTCAAAAATATGTGAATGGCGTTGAACTAACTTGTTTACTGATCTGGTGGTATGCAAAGCAAGGAGCACACTTGAAAAAGAACTTCCGTATCTCTTGTTTTTAAAATATCCCAAGTTAAAAACGACCGTGCAAAGTTAATAATCGATTAATGATCTTTTGAGAGATCTTTAAAGTTGCTGAGCCACTTGGTTATAGCTTTCTGATTGTTAAATTTCAATCGAAGGAAAATTCTAAGACAGACACTGTTTCTTATTATAATAAACTCATTCTTATTTCTTTGAAACGTATCCTTCGAGGTGACTACTCCAGTGACACCTCTGGAACATTGTGCTGGTTTTCAAAATACCAAGTACTTTTGAATGTACCGCAATAAATCCAATCTTTATTGAAGAAAAGGGCGCAACTTTGATAGTACGCACACTTGCTTAAGAATTGGAAACATACAAACATTACCCTAAATTTGGTTTTGTCCTGTGGTTTTAAGTCCAGAATTGATCCAATTGTTTTTAAATGATTAAATGACTCAACAAGCTTTGCTCCAGCAAAAACGTTCCACACGAACTCTTAAAAATTTAAACTTCATGGAAATAATTTAAAATAGTTACAACCTAGGTGAAGCTTGGAAACCCCTTGGCCCGGTTCCTTGAAAGATGATTAACTCGCATAAAGCCAGATTTAAGCAAAGCCATCTTTCTGGGGATATGTAGCTTGAGCCATAATAAACACGTTTTCTAGCTTTACTTCGCAATACTGTTATGTCAACCGGAAATGGTCCACTAAACAATCTAAAAGAACTCAAAGACAATTGTCATCCTGGAATAGCGCTAACTCGGTCTTTCAAGAACGGGACTCTGCTGTTCATTAAAGAATATTGACGTGTTTTCAGAAGTTTACTGATAAAACTGTGCTCTTTCTTGATTTGGTGCTCTGTCGCGTGTAAAATTGTAAAACGGAAAGGAAATTGGGACGAGTTACTTTCGCAAAGGCTTCTGGAACTATTACTAGAGACAAGGGAAAAAAATGGCCGATAGCTGACCGGCACTTCCCCAGTAACTATCCCAGAAGCAATTGCGAAATGTATTTCGGCTCCAGTTCCTACTTGTTTCTCAGTAAGGGGTTGCACAGCTCCGAGGCTAGTACAAAAAGAAATCCCTTTCCCATGTTTTGTTTTTCTTGCGCTTGTCATTACTGGCAGCGTTATTCGTCTCTCTTCCGCCAATCATTGCTCGTAGTTCGTCTGATATTTCCTTCAGCTTGTCTTTGGCGTATTCTTCAATGAAGTCCGACATATTTTCCCCTGTGGACTCCGCTTCAAGAATTTCTCTAGCGTCGGTGAAAGAGTCATTGAGTATGGCCACAAAGAAATTCATCAAGATGAGCGTCGTAACGAGAAAATACGTGAAGAAAAAAAATGGCCCAAGGAAACGGTTGATGGACTCCAGCTCGTCATAGTTGGTACCTAAAAGGGAAAGACAATAACAAGAAAAGCACATGAAAGACATAGCTAGTTATTTCGTCATTGGTTTATTCCTTTAGAATTTATACTGATGGAATTAAGTCATCCCAACCGGCCTTATCCATTTTCAAAAGTGCGATGCAAGGACAAGCCTACTAAGTATGCATAACCAGCTTATGGGCATGCGCTAATAAAGACGGCCTTGACATATAATAAGCATAAGCATAAGAAGAATGGCAGGTTTTGATATCGATAACATTTGTGTTTAGGGTTACACTTATGTCAAGGCCTTCCTCTTTAGCTCATTAGCTCCTTACCGTATTTATTCGATTAACCGCCCTGGGCGCTTATTAAATTTTTGGACCTTGAGAGTGGGCGCTTATTCGAGGTGGGCGCTTATTCGAGGCTGGGCGCTTATTAAATTTTCACCATTTTCAGCAAATAAGCAACAAAACAATAAATGAAGAATGGCAAAGGTTTTGATATCGATAAACTTTTCACTGTTTAGGGTTTATTTGAGTCTGATTGGGATGTCAAGGCCTTCCTCTTTAGCTCATTAGCTCCTTATGTTCATGTTTATGTTAATGCTTGCGTCGCTAGTGAGGACCATGTTATTCTTACGCTTATGGTTGCGTCGCTATAGAATGTTTTCACATTACGTCACGGCGGCCATGTTGGTGTCCCAAACCAATCCTGTGGAAGTTGAACTCTTTTCTTATGTAGACGCTTTCTTCTGCAAAAATCTGCATATATGCTGGCCACGTGAGTGAAAACGCTCTATTGGTGAACAGGGACTTTAAGATCCAACGGCGCGACGGCAACGAGAACGTCGCTTAAAAAGTGAAGAAGTTGAATTCCAAGGGATCTTATCCAAGTTCAGAAAGAGAAATAAAATTTCGTCGTTGTTTATTTACGTTCTCCATAAAACGCAAAAATTAGGCGTTTTACATCGTAGTCGTGCAAAAACGGCAAACAAATGTACAAAAAAGTATCATGCACGTGTTTTGCTTTTTAAACCTGTTGTTTTTTTTTTTTTGACGTTCTCGTTGCGGTCGCGCCTATGGATCTTAAAGCCCCTTTTTGTACGCGTACATGGTAGAGTCGCTAGTAAGGACGAAAACAAATTTGATGTAACTCTATTTTTCGTCCAGTGTTGAATCGAAGTTTTTTCTCACCTTTACCAAGAATCATTTCGAACGAATTAACGATCGATCTTGGAAATGTGGAAAACATGTACGCTGAGGAGCCAAAGGTGATGTTACCAAACGTAGCAAATCCCAAGAGAGCCACCACAAAGCAAACGGAATAGGAAAGCAGTGGTCCTTTAGAAATTGCCATGCTCTTGGTTACTATGGAGATGTGCTTATTAAACTTTAAGATGCGCAAGAATTTCATTGTTGCCAGGAAGATGACCAGCGCGAGAAACACACTCTCTGTGTCTGTCCACAAAGCCACGTAATCGAAGCTCATTCGGGCGTAAGGGTTGGCCTGCACTTTTTCAACTAGCCTCCTATTGGAAATAATAATAATAATAATAATGATAATAATAATATGACGATGATGATGATGATGGTGATGATAATGATGATGACGATGATTATAGGCTATGACGATTGTGATATAATTGGGACATTTAGATCCATTAACCTCTAACCGAGAACGACGTTGAATCAAGTGATCATTTTCTCATGTCAAATTTACTGTGAAGAGATTTTTCCTGCATTGCCTTTCGGTGAGCTCACACAAGGAGGAGAGGGACGAGACTTCTAAGGGTAGGATATACAGATCATTACCAAATCAACCTATTTACCCTAGCCTTGCAAAATTGTTTAAAGGAACTTGAAAATGTCTATTGCTCATATTACAATCGGCAGGAGGTAACCCTAGAGGGGAAGGGAGGGGAGTGGTGGTAGCATTGAAAGGGAGGTTTGGGTAGACCGGGGGTGTAGCGCCAACGCGTTAAAGCGATAACCCTGTGTAAGACAAAATCCGTTCATTTTGCTTCCCTGTTTTTTTTTCTAAAACTCATTTGGCGGATGATTCTTTCTTTCCTTTGTAACCTTTTTCTTTTTCTTTCTTTTCGGATGGCAGTTATACGCGAAAACCGCAAGGCCATTATAAGCTTTATAAATTATTTCACCGGTGTTTTGCTAGCAAATGGGACCGAAGACTTTACCAAACAACAAAAACGTCGAAAAGGCAAGCAAAACTGGACTTGTACAGGAGTGACGTTTGTATCATGTCACGAATTTTCGTTACAAGTACGAGTGCAAATCTATGAAGTTCTACTGTACATCGTCCAATCTAAGTGGAAAAAATAAATATCTTGTTAAACTGTTCAGAATGTACTATCGTGGGATATGTTTACTCGCCTCATACTTTGACGCCACGTATTTTGTCTAAATACGGCTCCACTTGTAAAAACATCCCTTGATACTACACACTAAGCCTTCCATTGCGTAAGAGTTATTAAAGTGGAATGATTATGAAACCCGTTAGACTCCATTGTTAAATGTTTTTGTTAGCTTTTTTAGACCTGACCGTGCACGTCGTTCAATTGCATTCCTATCATTTTGAACTTACTGACCACCAAAATCCATCTCATTAATTTATCCAGTCCAAATTTGTGAACTCAGAACAAAGGATTGTGCACGATCGGAGAGCTTCCAACATAACCTACAGCACCGTTGTTTTCCACTTTGATGTTTGCCGTGTTTCATAACCAGATTCCTCTACTATGACTGCAAAGCATTGTTTATCTTTACATATAAAGATACTTAAGTAATACCTGGTGTATTCTGATTTGAAAAAGAACAGTACAATCGTTGTAATGGTAAAGGAGATGAAGGCCCACTCTATGTAGTTCCAGATGTCTTTGAAGTACTTGCTTTTCAACTGCCGCATTTCTTTGAATTCCCGATAAATCGAGTATAAGAGAATAATAATAATCAGCACATAACAAACGATGAATATGGAACTGAAACTCGAGTTGATGCTTCCGACGAACGAAATGGGATCAATGCGGTAAGATGTCCAAATCCCTCCAGTTGGGAGACATTCAAAGTTGTATCGACCATACGCAAAGAGATTGGTGCCGGGTTCGAAGGCAACGAACTCCAACGAAACCAATCTTGTCAGTCTGTTGATCCAGATATCGTCCTTGAGGTTGGCAAGAACTTTTTGAGCCGTATCTATATCGTACCCTAGTTCCGCAAGAAGACCGCCCCCAGTGTACGTGTTGCGTTCCGTGACAATGGGCAGTGTGCCAAGAGATAAAGCGTCGTGGTACTCCAGTGTATGGGTACAGAGGATTCTAAGTTCTGAGCCTGCAAAGTTGTTGGAAGTTCCTAAATAAAATAAAGGAAAATAAGGTTAAGGCGTTTTCACTCACGCGGCCAGCAGCTGTGCAAATTCTAACAAAGAAAGTTTTTACATAAAAAGAAGTCCAGAAGGTTCTACTCCCACAGGACTGGTTTTTGGAACACTAACAAGGCCGCCGTTTTATTATTTTGGGACACCAATACGGCAGGCATAACGTCATATGAATTCCCTTTACGCTACAAGATTTCCTTTATTTAAATTACCGCAGTTCTGGCCCATTGCATTCGCGACCTTCTTTTGTAGGCGACCACTAAGGTTCGTGTCGAACGAAAAGCCGTGAACATCTATCCAAGTCTTCACTTTAGAGATCCAAAATCACCGGAAGCCCTATCGGGTAGTGGTTTCGTACCGGTGCAAAAGCTATGCGGCATAGTGTAAACAAAGCCTAAATCTTATTATTCTATTCAGGGAGTTTGCTTACGTGGAGTTCGACAGTAACTTCCTTAATAACTTCCTTAACGATTTTCAGTTAACCAAATCGACCCTCGGGGCAAGTAAAGTTATTTGCCGCTAACAAGAGAAATAAGCATGTTCAGGAGCATATGATAAAGTAATCAGATTATATTGTCGGGAACAAAAAATGGAAATGCAATGCCTCAGTTATAGATATTTTGTTTTCTTTGGCTTGATCAAAAAGATTTTAAGGAACCGAAAACGTCACTTGTGAAGTAAATTCGCATTATTCCAACATATTTCCCCTTTAATCCATCTCGTTTAATGTGTTAAAATCTGGGCGAATTTTTCTGGAGTTTTATTCTAAAGGACTGTATCTCAGTTCAGAAAAAGAAAGGAAAGGAAATCGTTGCTTTGTTCACGCCCTCCAATGCGCTGCAATTACTTCAAAGAAATGTACAAAAAGCGTGATACACGTGCAGGGTTGGTGTTCTGCTAATCTAAAGGTGATGCTACACGGGACGAAATTATGGTTATGGTGGTTTCGTGTGAGCGAAACACCAAAACGCGCGAATTTTCCACCGGTCGAAAAATTGTTCGGCGACGTGTGAACTTAGCCTAAGGTCTCGTCCACCCATTTACTTTTTTTAACGGAGATTTTCTCTCCTTTTTCGTAATAAAAAGCGTTCACACGCTGCATATATTCGAAATACTTCGCCCCGTTCAAATTAAAACGCTGAAACGATGGAAATACGATAACATTCCTTTCAGGTGCGTGCGCTGTATAATGTACGAAATCTCGGTATTCGTAAACCTCTGTTTTCGTCCACCTATACGAAAACAAGAAGTCGGCGGTTTTAAAAAAACCTCCATTCTAAGTATCGTTTTCGGAAACCTGCTTTTTTGTCCGAAAACCCCCAGCACGTGTGGACAGAGACTAAAGCTGTTGCTTTTTTACCATTCCCGTTGCCGTTGCCATCGTCGTTGCCCAAGCTTCCTGTTACATCCTGATATGGCGCAGGTGTGGTATAAGTACTGTTACTACCGATACTATCGTTGTTACTGGTCTGTTGAGTGTTGTCAAGGTTGGTGGTCGTATCTTCGCTGTCTTCGTTATCAATAACTCTCCAACTCGAACCACCAACGACGTAGGCTGGGGAGACATCAAGCCAGTCCAGTTGTGCGTCGGCAGATTGGTCGTTTTGGCTGTTAGAGGAATAGCCATGGTAACAACTTGGAAACCACCGGGTAAATTCAGGGTACGCGTTCCAAGCAACACAGGGTTCTGTTGACAAGAACAGTTGCCTATTACCTACAAGTAAATGAGGAGGCGTGGTGGCATAGAGGGTCCCAGATAGGTCTTTTGAGATTCTGCATTTACCTCATTTGAAAGCCGGGATTTGAGAACTTAAAGCAAAATGGGGACGTGGAAGTTTTTTGGGACTTTCATTTGAAAGAGTTAATCTGTTACTAACCTTGCTTGATTCTTGCCTGGCGCAGGCGTGGAAGACCAACAATAAACATTTTTTTGTTGGAAAAGAAATCTTCTTCTTCAAATGCTTGTCCATTGTACCATTCTGTAGCATACAGGCTTGGAAGCATATAATTTTCAGCCCACCACCAAAACGTGTATACGTCCTTGACCTAACGATATCAAAATTGAGAACAATTGGAATAAGGGGAAGTGACAAAATCGTTTATGAGAAAAAGTAAGTACAAAAACCCCCGAACGTTAAGAAAGAATTTACTTTAAAATCGTCAAATGCTTTCACAAGAATAGCTGCAGTTATAAAAAGATATTATGCAGTGCAATTGGAATTCAGATATTTTCGCGTCATTTCATTTGGTTCGTGTTTGAAAAAAAAAATTAGATTCTTTTTTAAAATTTCTAGTCTCTACAATTGCTTTTGATAGACTTTGTAGGAGACACGTTTCCCACTAGGTCAAATTTAATTGTTCAAGAATTTTGTAGGAGATTTTTTACTGGATGGTTTGTGTGAAGGGTAAGCTCTAAGATCGCTTATAGCAGTACCTTATAAAGAGGGTACAAAAGTAATAGTGAAATTAGAAGTATTGCTAAACGTCCATGATTATATTGGCTATAAATTTTGAAACCGTTGAGTTTAACACTAAGTTGCCAGAGGTGCAATGCTGATTTGGTTTTTCGTTTTTTGATACGTTCCTGTGATTAAGAGATGTCGAACATGTTCAGGAAGTTAAAGAAAAATGTCGAGAGTATTTTCTTTTGTTCAGCCAGTTTTCTCAGGGGATGCCAGTTCTTTCAACAGGAGACGGGCCTTTGACCCCTTAGGTTCTTCTGAATCCAGATGCTCTGCCACTGACAGACGAAAAAGCTTGCAGAAGCTTCCTGTGTAGCCTGTTAAAGGGTTTCTTACCTTGCCGAGTTTTGTGTTGAAAATATCTTGTACATTCTTGGAGAGGTAAAACCTGTCTCCGCCCCGGCTACCATAAGTAGCTACTGAGAGAAGAAAGACGAAGAAAAACTGTAACGCAAGCTGGGAGAATATATTGCACATCTGCGCTTCTTTAAGCTTTTTTTCTCTGGCCATTGCAACTATTATTGGATCGGGACCACTGGTAAAAAGCTTCTTGCGAGGATCCTTCGTGCTATCAACCGAAGTATCGTCTGTGAGTTCCTCTTGTTTTGTTTCTTCAGCCTCATCGTTAACTATTTCCTCCTCGTCGTCCTCGGGAGGTTTCCGCAACAACATGGCCAAAATCGATGCAACCAGGATTACTTTCAACGGTTGCACGAAAAAAATGTCTTGTACCAAAGATATAATGACTGAAAGAATCCATTTGTCTGACTTCTCCTTGCCCCAAACCATACTATAAAATATGGTGAACAAGGCTCCAACAAAGGATGTGAGGAAAGCCAATGTGTAAGCAATGTAATTACACCAGTAGGGAAGTTTGAATTTTCTTCTCTTTGTAACCTCTTGTTCTGTTTTAGGCGCCGTCTTTTCCCTATTTGTTTTTTGCAATTCTTCTTTCTTCGTTTTAGTTTCTGAGTCAGCTTTACTTTTGTCCATTCCTTTGGGTTCAGATTTATTTTTATCTTTAGATTTCTGGTCCGTTGGCCCCTTTTTGTCTTTTGATTTCTTGCAATCTGATCCTTCTTTACCTTTCACTTTTTCATCCTTCGGTTTTGTTTTCCCTTTTGGTTTTGCATTAGTTCCCGCCCTTTTTTCTTGCCCTTTGGGTTCAGCTTTTTCCTCTCCTCCGGAGGACTTTCTTGGTCCAGTGAAACGAAAAATGGTGATAATCAACAAGTTAACAGGGACAACGACAATGCTGCTTTGAATTCCAATCATCAACTGCCGCCATGTGAAGTCGATAGGTCCAAATTTGACTCGAAGACTTTCCTCAGCATCGCCCAGTTCGTAAAACATAGCGTTAGCCACCATAGAAGAAAAGAGCAGAGAGATGCAGCAGGTCAACCTTTGAACCCGAGTAAAAGAGCTGTGTGGCGGCCGCGTATACACTGAAAACCATAAATGGCCATCACCTGTGGTCGCGTAAGAATAGCAATAATAAGTTACATAAGTAGCTCGGGTGAGTTAAACCTGAATAGGACTATTATTGATAGTGACTGACGTTTGGACAACCTACCCTACGGGCAGAGGTTTCTGTCTTGCATGGCTTTTAGTGTTTAAGCCGCAGGGCGTAATAAACAAACCAACAACGCGACTGACAAGCGATGCGAACGACGTCGTATTAAAACGCTAACAGTTATGCAAGAGAGAAACTTCTGCTCGTAGGGAAAGGCAACCCGGTATTCATCTCCACAGTCAAAGTGAGTTGTATCACGACAGTTGATGGTGTTAAACTCATCTTGACCTGATTGGTCAATTAAGTCGCGGTGTTAGTGGTCGTCTGTCAGTTAAGCAGGAATGTTATTGGCTATGAAGAGCCTAAGTGTCATTGACGCGTTTCGGTCCGCCTTTTGTCGCCACTTAACAGTCGTTTATTCTTAATCAAATTGTAGGTGGTCTAGCATTCTGTCGTCAGTTTTGACAATTAGTCGATCATTCTACTGGTAAATCCAATATTCAGGCAGCCAATTTAGCAATTTATTACATTCACGTTTAAATCACCTACGATCCCTGCAACCTGATTGAATCACAGCAGCGTGATTTTTTTCATGAATCATACTTTTTTGCTGTAAATCACATTTGTTTTATATCAAATAATTTGTGCTATTAATTCCATCACTTCTTCTGTTAATCGCAATATTTCTGTTTTGCATACTCAAAACGTGATTTAGGAATGTTTAGGGTTCAACTTTTTTTTTTTACAATTAACCGACTTTTGGATCGATAAAATATTAATACTAGCCACTAAAATCCTATTTAATTATGGGCTACTAAATCATGCGATTTGAAAATGGATGCGATAAATTAAATAAATTGAATTGAGTGGATTTCAGTTTCCGTTATTGTAATCACACTTGTGATTTCAAATCTAATTCTCGCTGTGGCTCGTACGATTTTCAAAGCGGGCGCCTGATTTAACACCAAATTGCACTCCACTCAGTTCAGTTCAGTTCAATTTAGTACCATTATAAATAAGAGGACGCATAGACCTACCAGACAAGAAAAAAAATGTATCAACCAGTAGACCGGTCGACAATTAGTCTGTTCATCAGATAGTCACCAGACAATGGTCAATCATACAGTCAATCGACCGGTCAAACAACGTAGATTCAGTTGTGTGACAATTCAGTAGTCTGCGTAGAAAGCGCCGGGGTTTTCGATCGAGCTTTCGCGCGAGCATTGGACTGCGAGAGCCAAAAAAGACAAAGGAACTCTACCGACGAACTCAAGTGGAAATGCTTGCTACGCAGGCTAACAATTGATAAAAAAAATTGTAAAGGTCGCTAACTTTCAGTTACTACCTATGTCCTTGGAAGCCCTGTTATAAAATAGGTTCTGAAATCCTGTCATCTGCTTTTGGTCGGCAACGAAGATCGCCCTTTCAACCAATCCATCGTCCTTCTCCACTGCTAACCATCGGTTACAGATAAAATACGACTTCTTATTCGTTGGAACGTGGCGAATCACAATTTGTCGCAGATTCCACGAGGGGCTTGAGCCCGAGTTATCGTGCCACACATTCACATAGTTCAATCGACCCAGAGAGTTCGGTAACCTGGACAAAAAGAATACTGGTAAATGAAGCAATGCCAGGGATTGCAAGTACTATTATCCACACTAGATATCTGTGTATCCGAATTTACCTCGTTTCAATTTAACAAATGGATTTGATTTACGGTGTATGAAAGGCCCCTGTCAATAGCGCCAAGTAAATTAAAAGTCAGGACACTGGACGTTCGGACCAGCTATTTTGAAAACGAAAAGGCTTTTTTCGTGAACTTCTGCAGAAACTTATCAATACCACGCATACTATTTATCAATAGACTGAGTTGCCTGGAAATTCCTTAGTAATAACTAAATCCTCTTATTCTCATTACGAAAAAAAATGTTCTGGCCGGTCAGTTTTGATAGATTAAGGGTCCTGAGGATATATCTATAGGTCCACAAGAGTCCGTCAAGTGTGCAAACTCAAACAAATTTAGCAGAATTCTTCCAGATTTGCTCAATTATATCTGATCTGAAGAAACAACTGGGGTTTTTTTAATCACCAAGAAATCAGGAAAGAGAGAAGTGGTTTTAAAATACGACAAACCTTTATGAATCTCTTCTAAAATGACGCCAAAAAGTCAAACTAAATCCAATTTGTTCGTGGTGATTTTACTCTCTTTGTGAGATCAAGATTGTCTCAGTGAGTCCCCACTAGACTGTGGTATCAAATTTAACCTTGGATGAAGTTAAGCAAAGCCTAATACCCATTGGGGTTCCAGTTCCAGCTGCTGTAGAAAGAGTCTAGAAAGGTGAGCCTGAACCCGCAATCCTGCTTCTTTTCCACGATAATCACACAACCCGAACTGCTGACATCTTTACCCCGGATACCGTTGTCTTTAATTTTCCAATGCAACATCCTCCGCCAAGATTTTTGGCGAGTCCCCTCTTCCCGAGAAGTGGTCGAAAAATGTTGACTTTTCCTAATTCCCGGACAAATCCCGGATACCGCGAATGCCCTTCCAGACCCTGCGTGGATAGTGAACAACTTGATTGCTTACCTTGCTACAAAGGAGCTGACACTGCCGCGACTAAAAGGGCGTTTCGCGCCACCCGTGTCTTGAAGCGGTAATACTTCACTCTCACCCTTTTCACCGTTAATGTACATTGACACGTTTGCTGTTGTACCAGAGTCTCCGAACATCCCTGTATAAACTGCAATCTCGTAAGTGTGGTCACCAGTTTTGTTCGTATGGACAGGCATTGCAATAGACAGCTGCAACAAAAGATTAAGAGATTTAACTCTAACGTTTTGATGTAATCTACCACATGGTTATGAAAGTAGAATCGCTCATGCAGAAAATGGTCTTTCAACGACACCAGAAAAAAAATCAATTCATTCTTCAGTTAGATTAATATATATCAACTCGCACTTTGGACCAATGAGCTCACATCACCGGTGATTGTGTGTAAATGGAAATGGAAATATGATATTATCCACTCCCCTCAGGGCTTTTCAGGGATAATTTACAACACTGGTTGGGGTACTTTGTCAGACTACTTAACGCGTAGTTTACAAGTAATGAAGGAATGAGTAATGATGCCCCCATACATGAGTGTGAAAGTGAGATAGACCACTACACCAGGCACTACGTGCCCTACTCTTTACGAAGAGAGTGTGGGTTCTTTAACGTCCCACACATTTATTACATGTGCAAGGGCTTGTGAGACGGGGCCTACGGTTTATCGTCCTTACCCGAGAAGACTAGGAGGTCAAACCGTTTGCGGATGTTATTACAAAGGCATCACTTTCTCCTCAGTTATTTAAAGACCCTGAGTGTTGGTTCGGTCGGGGTTTGAACCTACGGCCTTCCGCTCAGCAGACCGGCGCTTATCCATTGAGCTAACCGGGCGGCGGAAAATTTAACGGATTTATAACTATTTCTGTTGCATGAAATATCAAAGGTGTATTAAAGGACATGATGCTATTACCTCCATTAACACTTTGCATAAATTGTGTATTTACCAAATAAAGAAGCCTTGAATATTCTACGTTCTGTTGTAAGGCATGCAGGTAGCAGCTAGAGCACGAAAGAAGAGTGTGTCTCCCTAAGTCTTGATCGAGTGCTCTAGCCGCTTCTTGAGAGCTTTACGACAGAACAGAGTACAGTCAAGACTTCTTTGTTTGTTTTATGACAAAGAATCCGTTAACGTTCCCACGCATTACTTTCTAATTTTCAAAATAAACTACTGGCAGATGACAGGACAGCTTTAGCGCCGTGTTTAATAATCTAATAAAGCACCCTTTTTCAACGAATCAGAGGGCGCATTATATCTGAACCTTATTATAAAAAAGGGTAAGGAATAAGAGCTCGGGGAGGAGCCTGCTCCGTATACAATTTTGTTAAGTATCCACTCCCCCCCCCCCCCCCCCCCCGCACCCACGGATAAAAATGCAGAACAAATTAATAGCAATAAATAAATATTATTGCAATTTTAATTTAACTTCAAAGGTAAAATTTGCCTTTTTTCTGTAATACCTGCTGTTTGTCTCTTCTGTCTGCTCTCCTGGCAAAAATCACGCCCAAAACGTACAAAAGAACGAACACGAACACGGCTATAATGACGCCTACATTACCAGTCTTCCCCAGGTTAGCAAATCCTAGGGCGACTTCCGCAAAGTCAATTGTGTTGGGTGTCACCAGTAAGTCACCACCAAATGATGTAAGATGATCGCAAAGACATTGCAGTTTTTCGTCATTAGATTCTGGACCAGCCTTTAAACATATAGAAACAGGAAGGTCACAGGTTTCTTTCCTATTAGGAGCACTCAGATTTTTTAATCAAATAATTTCTTCCTAGCGACTGAATGAACATGTTTCTCATATTAAATATAGGATAATCCAGGCCTTCGACCCTTGGCCCTCTAAAAAATAATGAACTGTAATTATCTAAGATATAGGGGATATAACATGGCTGCACGCAGTAACAAAATTCCTCCACGAGGAATATAACAAGAGTGAGAGCAGCCTAACCGTCACTCTTACCCTAACGGGTTCCAGTTTTTTACTCTCAGCCTTCAAAATTGTACTGACACATTCATGGAGTACTCAGAGCCCGTTCGCCCAGCATATTCGGCTGCTAGGCAATGATGATAATAAAAAAAAAAGAATAACAGCAACAACCATCATATAAAGCAATGCCAAAATTATGAGAAAACAAACTTATTGGCTGGTCCACATTGCAAGATTTAGGGATCGGAGTGGAACCTTTAAAAGCTATAAAGCGGTAAAGGCAATCTTACCGTACAACCTCTAGTGCTCCATTCTTCATTGGTCTCTTCCCAGAAGAGGCATGTGTAAAGGCTGACTTCGAACGAATAGAGTGCAGACACATTCTCGTCTAGCTCTGGCGTTTCTTCGACAAGAGGCAATGTTTCTCCAATTTTGAAAGGAGGGGGCTTCTCTTTGACGACTATACAAAGTCGCTCAGCGGTTTCATCGGAATCTGACGACAGTGATCTACGTTTACGATCACCACCATCGTCTTTCTTGCCCTGCCATAGCCTCCAATAACCCATATATCTGTCCAAAAATGTCCCACATTGGAACCATTTACCCCACCAAAACTCACAGTTTTGGTCGTACACATCGTCGCCTTGAAAAGATGTTCTCCTACTTACCCATTTTGCCCGTCTTAAAACTTCACCTTCCAAATATCTCCTGGCATTGTGCTCTCTATTTCTCTTTATGAGTCTTCTCCAAAATTTAAACTTCTCTAGCCCATCCCAATCAGGCTCACCTTCCCCAAAGTCCAAACTATCTTTCTTGTCCTTCTCTTTCTCAGTATTAGTATCGTTTGGAGGTATGTAATATTCAATACCCACATACCACTTGCCTGCTTTTCCAACAGTACTGTTGAAAAAAACCCTGAAAGGATCTTTAAGGCATTTCGCGTAAATGCCATAAAACAATTTGGGTGTGGTCTTAAGGATACTGCGGCACTGCTTAAAACGATCCAAGTGCAACAGGTAGCAAGATAATAAATTCACAGAGTCCTTACAAATTAAGGTGTCGTTTGGGCAAAGAGAAAAGTCGATGAACGCCTTGCATATGTCATTGTTTTCATCTAACGAGGAGTTGAATAGAAATGTCACATCGGGGAGCTCGTCACAAGTGCAATTATCGTACGTAAAGTTATCATATTTGCAAACGTCAGGACATTCAAACGTTTGCTCTTCTCCATCGGGTCCGGTTGAAGCCGGAGGTGGAGGTGTTACCGTTTCATTCTCTGGTTCCGGGCCACAGCTTGCAGGCAAGAACGGTCTTGTGTAGTTTTCGTCCTTGTATGGCGCGTCTTCCGTTTCCACGCATGTCATAAAATCAGATACAATGCTGCAGTTTTCTTGTCCCGGAAGTACGCAAGACGTGAAATCCGGAATAATGAACTTAAAGTCAAAATGTGTCAAGTTTGGTTTTCTCCCATAACGTAAATATACAGCGAGCATTGTTTCATTAACTGGTTCTATTCGAATGGCAAAAGCAGTGTCGTTGTGTTTGATTTCAAAGGAATGAAACATCATGCTGTCATTTCCTGGGTTAACAAAGTGCACGGCGGCTTTGTTGGTATCATTGTTTTCCCTCCCCGTGGGAATATAGATTTCAATTTGCTTTTCAGTTTTCTCTACTGTTATGGGACTTCCAAATTCGTCCTTGAATGATAAGGTGATTACTGAGGTCGCTGCCTTATGGGTACCATTTTTGGCCCATATAAACGGATTCACATCCGAAAATTGAATCTAAAAAAAAAAGAAAAAAAGGAGATCATGTGATAAGCTAAGCCACATAAAACAATATGTAGCAAGATAATGGTGAGGCACATCACACATAACAGAGGGTCTCAATGGCGTAATAGCTTTGATGGTCATATCTTAAAGAGCTGTTGACGGTTGATGGTTATTATAATTGAAAATTAAGTCCAAGTTTTTAAGTAAATATTAACTGCTGTTAATTACAGTAGAAACCCGAAAACTCGAACTCGGACAACTCGAATTCCTCGCTAATTCGAACCAAATTTATTTTCCTTTCATCAATATTTCTCTGAAATTTACCCCGTTAACTTTTTCGTTTCCCTTAAGAGTTCGAGTTACCTGGGCTCTACTGTAAATGTTATGTTTTGGAGGTTGTCTTAGCCTTTCACTTTTTCTGTTTTCAGGTATGAGCAAATTGTAAGGTCTTGTAATATCTAGAGAAAGTGTTTTTGAGAACATGGGTACTGGTTTTCCTAGCTTAGAGATCCTTCAGAAGCCAGAAGATCAGCTGAAATAGTGAGATTTGAAACAACTCGAAAGTATCTGAGTTCTTAAAGCCTCTGAAGAAAGTTTGTCTTCAAACTAAAATATTGGGCAAATTTATTTAAATATATATTTTTTGTTTTATTCTTTTGTTTACTTTTTCATTGCCTTGCCGTAAGGATCGGTTTGCCGTTTCATATTTTTCTACATGTTGTTATTGTATTGAATTATTTAAGTAAACTAGAAATTCTATGCGATAATCAATTTGGCTTCAGGAAAAATCATTCAACTTCGTTAGCATTGATTGACCTATGTGAAAAAATCTCCCTTGCTCTTGATCGCAATGAACATGCCGTTGGCGTTTTCCTTGATCTTTCTAAGGCCTTTGATACCGTCGATCATAATATTCTGCTTGACAAACTCGAACACTATGGTATACGTGGCGTGGCTCTGGACTGGGTTAGAAGCTACCTCTCCAGCGGGTTGCAATTCGTTCAATTTAACGGTCAATGTTCCTCTCCTCAAACTATCTGCTGTGGTGTCCCCCAGAGATCCATTTTGGGCCCCTTGTTTTTCTTGCTCTATATTAATGATTTAAATAACGTATCGACACTCGTCGAGCTGATTTTATTCACTGATGATACTAATTTATTTATGTCCCATAAAGATCCTGTCTACCTGGCAGCCTCACTCAATTCCGAACTTAATAAATTATCCACTTGGTTTAAGGCAAACAAACTCTCCTTAAACCTGAAGAAAACAAACTTTATGTTATTTAAGCCTAGATTTAAAAGCTATCATCTTCCAATGCAAATATGCATAAATGAACAGAGAATCGAACAGGTTAAGGAAACGGTCTTCCTCGGTGTAGTCCTTGATGAACTTCTGTCTTGGAAACCGCACATTTCTCAATTAGCTCGTAAAATCTCGAAATCAATAGGTGTCATTAATAGAGCAAGATTTTTCCTACCTAAACCCTGTCTAAAAACTCTTTATTATTGTTTAGTTTATCCTTATCTTCATTATTGTACTATTGTCTGGGGATCTACGTACAAAACCAATCTTCGCCGTCTTGTCTCTTTGCAAAAGCGAGTTATCAGAATTATTTCTAAATCAACTTTCGATTCTCATTCAGACCCTATTTTCAAAGAATTAGAGCTACTAAAACTTTCCGATATTAGACAACTAGAATTGGGTAAACTTATGTTTTCTCTTAACCATTCTCTTTTGCCTTCAAAGTTCAACAATTATTTTTCTTTAAACAAACAAGTCCATAGCTATGCCACCTTCCTTTTTGTAGAACAAACCTTCGTAAATTTTCTGTCAGTTTCCAAGAACCTATCTATTATAACTCTATAGAAAATGATATTAAAGAATCTAATTCTCTCCACTTATTCAAAACGAAATTGGAAAAAAAATTATGTATGAATTATTAGTTATAAATCTTGTAGTAAATAGTTATATTTCTTCACATGTCTGATATTATTTTTATACTTATTGTTACATGTACCATACCTTATATTTTGTCAACTTAACTCAGTCTATGTAATTAGTTAATTTATACTTACCTTCATTGTATTTTACTTTCGATCCTGGCCTTACTGGTACTGTTAACTTTATTTTTACTCTGAGGGAGCCCAATGTCTATAAGCCTCATGGTTTCTTTTTGGGCTTCCTCGCCACTTTCATTTGCTTTTGTGTAACTGTCTTGTTTTATCGTTATTTGTATTTTGTGGTAAATCAAATAAAGTTGCAAAGTTAAAGTTACAAAGTACAGATCCAGGTCTACAACTGGGAGATGCGGCACCACTCATTGGTTTGTCGCTGACCGAATCCATCACTTGGAAATTGCGAAATTTAATTTTCAGTGGACAAAAACCTTGTACCAGAATGATTTAAAGAATATCATTGGATTTTTTCTTACATTTTTCAAGGGCTAAAGATGTAATAAATCATCTGTAGTAACTCCAAAAAAAAATCTTATGGGAACCCGAGAAAATGAATGTCAAATTTCACAAAAGTACATTTTCCACATGAAATTTTCAGAATTTTACATGTGTAATCCAATTCTTGCACAGGGGTTTTGTCCACTGAAAATTAAAATTAATCAATTTCCTGGTGGATTCCGTCTTAAATAGTTTGGTAACCATTAGAAACTTCCGATGATTGGAGGGAGAAAGAGAGTGAGAGAGAACCCGCAAAGCTCTGCGCCAACAGCTGCGCAAAAAAAAAAATTATCAAATGCATTAAAGAAAGACTTCTTAGGATAAGAGCGAGAAAGGTACCCTCGCTTCTGGGATTTGAGCCCGAATAACAAAATTGAAAGCCGATAACTCTTACCGCTGAGTTACTAGTTTCTTAAAGACCAAGTTCCTTTTCTCAGTAAGCATTGCGCGCTGCGAGCATTGGCGGCCATTTCCTTAATGCCGTAAAATTGGAAATTTCAATTAAAACAATGAAAAGAACATCAACAATGACAACATCTGCTACGTACTGCCGGCTTACTTACCCTTCTGTCAAGGTATGTATGAGTCGAATCATTCAAGAAGGGAAGATCCGGTAATTTGAACGACCCACCACTGATGCTCATATCCCGAGTCTTGTTATCCTCGCCACCCACAAGCAACTTAGCAAGCTGCATACTGAGATGTTTGCTTCGAAATACCGTCGGTTTCTCTCCTGGTATTAGACGCCGGAGGAAGTATTTTCCTATAGTTTCTGAAAGGTTCAAGGCCTTCTTGGCGAGGTCCTCAAGCTATCGAAATAAGAGAAGAAGGAGATGTTTTAACAACTGGGGTCGATCAGATAAAACATTTCCCAGGGTAATTTAAAAGTGATGATGAATTAAAAGTACGGCAGAAGAACGGCGTCTGAATCAATATGATACGGCAGTTTTAGTTTGGTGCGGCAAATGCGTTAAGTTCGACGGAGTCTGTCGAACTTACTGCTCGACACACGGTGCGCCGTCTGAATAAGATTTCGCGCCAGTGTCGCTCCAAAGTCGAACTTATTCAATTAGGTTCGGCACATAAAAAGTACGGAATCTGAACCAGGCCTAAACGATGGTTTACTGATTTTTCAGGACCTCACTATACAGTACAGTGCTATAGCCCTCCCCGGTTTGAATAGGGTCTGAATAGCGTTAATAATAAGACATTGACACATCAATAAAGCAAGTTTTTGTTACTCACCGCAGTAGCATTCTCTGTGTGGGTATAGACTACCCCACCAAGTACATTGCCAGTCACAGCAACAATCTGCTTACCAGCGTTTTCTACTAAGTCTGCCGTTGCTGTGTTATTTCCTTCTTGTGCCAAAATAGCCGACATGTCTTCGCATGATCCTAAGGACTGCAACTAGAAAGAAGTGTCGTTGTAGTTTGCTCTGTGTAATAAGTCAAGTGACAACCGAGTGATAAGAACGATTATGTCTATGTAAGATATAATAAGATAATCCAAGACAGTCTTGCATTCTGTGTTCCAGGCTGTGGATTCCGGATTTCAGGTACTGGATTCCAGTATTTTTCAGTGGAACTTAGATTCTGGATTCCAATCGTTAGTGGGATTCCGGATTCCTTAGGCTGTATTCCGGATACCAAACCCAAGGATTCCGGATTCCTTAGGCTGTATTCCGGATTCCAAAACTTCTGATTCCGGATTCCTTAAGCTGTATTCCGGATTCCAAAACCTTGGATTCCGGATTCCTTAAGCAGTATTCCGGATTCCAAAACCTTGGATTCCGGATTCCTTAAACAGTATTCCGGATTCCAAAACCCAGGATTCCGGATTTAATAAGCTGTAATCCGGATTCCAAAACCTTGGATTGCAGATTCCATAAGCAAAATTTTCTCGGATTCAGGAATCCGGATTCCCTTACATGGGGCGATCTTTGAGTCGTCCTATGTAGGGTCATCCAAGACAATCTTGCATTCTGTTCCAGGCTGTGCCGGATTCCTGATTTTAGGTACTGGATTCCGGATTCCTTGTCGTTGGCACTTGGTTTGTGGATTAGTTGAGCTGAATTACTGATTCCAAAGACCAGCATTCCGGGCTCCAGGGAGCAAAGATTTTCCGGATTGCGGAATCCCGATTACCTGACATTGGGCGAATTGTGTCTGCCGGATGAACATTGCTCTGTGGAAAGCACTTTTTGCTAAAATCAACTGTTGGATCAACAGCACAGGCCCTGGTTGGGGCTCTCAGAAGATATCTGCTGTTAGATAATCCGTAGGTTGCTCTAATTTTTTCAAATTACGGTAAATCCTCTGTTCTCCCCCGTGGGAGAATTATTTATTTTAAGTCCATTTGAGGAGGGAGGGGCTTAATAGAGACAGGGGGCTTATTTGAATTTGAGAGGGGGTTTAGATGATGGTATCAGTTCTCCATAATGAAAAAGAATTGCAACAGAGGGGTGATATATGTCTACGTTTGCAACAATTTCGATTGATTATCAACAGAAACATAGTAAATTCAAATAGGATGAGAAAAATGAAAGAATATGTTGTTATTCTTATGTTAATGTTGAAAAATCCGCTAGGTGTCGGTACGTTTTGATACGGGGATTCAGAAGCTTCCGTACTATCGGGTTGTCCGCAATAGCGAATGTTTCCAAATACACCAGAAGCGTCTCAGGTGGGTTTCTCTATACTTTAGAGGCCTGTTTGGTCAATTTGGGGTTACCCTAAAAACTATTTATCTGTTCGAATGTCTTAGGGGAACTTTGGTCGTCAGGAAAGTTTTAGCTTGCTTTTTCTTCTCATCCGAAACTGGTAGCTATTCTCGAGGACATCTTGCTTTCATCGTCTTTTATTGTATATATACCGAAAGTTTTAGGAGATCTTTTTTTTTTTTTTTTTAACAATAATCATAATATCTTGATATTAAAATGTGAAAACACAACATTCGAAAATCGTAGTTAAGCTATTAGAAAATCTCCGAATATTTTAGACGAATGGAACGTTTATACAGAAATTTTTAGCCTTTCCCAAGCTTTAGAAATTTCTAGGCAATATTTAATTTGTTTCTTCGAACAGTTATTTTACAGAATATAGTCGCGCCGGGTGCCCCTGGTCTGAAATAAGATTTTAGTGAAATGTTAATTCGTTTTGCCGAAGATTCAGCTGCAGTACTTTTGGGGTGTCCGCAGTAACGATAGTCTAGAAGAACATGAGGTTCCCTTCAAATGTCCGTATGTTTTAACAGGGATTTAGCTGCCGTACAATCGGGGCGTCCGTAATAGCGAGGGTCTGAATTAACGTGAAGTTTTGATTCAAATGTCCGTACGTTTTTCCGGGGATTTAGCCACTGCCGTACTATCTGACTGTCCTTAACAGCGAAATGCCTGCAAGGTTAGAGTTGACTCACTCTCAGTGCAATGTATCCAAAAGCTAATTTCTCCACACACATGCACACTTACCCCAGACTGAGGGGTTATCTCCCTTTCTACTTTAGTTGCCTCCACTAAGACGCTGGCTATCTGGTTTACACTTTCAGTGTCATTGATCTTTAACTGTGTTATACTGTTGACAATATTTTGTCGGATCTGAAAAGCAATGTGGTAATGGGTTGAAATTAAAAAACAAAAACAAACAAACAAACAGACAAAAAAACACTGAAGTGCCTAGTACTACCGTATTTACGTGGAGTTGGTCTGAGGAGTTTGAACAGACATTTTCAAATTAAATGCTTGATTTCTCATTTCAGGCCGCATTTATGTGGAAAAGAATTTTCCCGCTTAGAAGGGTCATCCTGGGTAAGCCCACTTTCCCTACATTTTTCTCACCAAACTCAGTTGGCAAATCTTTGACATGACAAATTGCTTGGCTTGAAGGGTGACCCCCTTAACCAAAAAAGAGGTAAGAAGGCCATAATAAAACTAAAAGTATATATGTATATTATTGGTGCCTGATATTTCTGAAACTTTAACTGGCTTACCTCTGTGTTGTTTGATTGCTGCAGAAAGTCCAAGGTACTTAACACGCTAATGCTCAGTTGAACGGCTCTTTGTTGATCGTTTGCTTTGACATAACCATCAAGAGCACCATTTTCACGAACAAGTTCCGACAGCTCCTCATCCAGTTCAGATATTGATGGTGGATATACCTGCAAGGCATTGTTCAGTCACAATCCCCACTCCAGATAGTCTCTTTCAGTGTCGTCACACAACGCTTCTCCCTGGGAGTGTTGCGCGACGACAATAAAAACGGCTGCGAGGGAGACTACACTCCAGAAACTATTTGGGGAATGGGTAAAAGTTTTCGGCGCAACTATTTCTGGGATAGTTCGGATGGACAAGCGTTAGTTATGATGGGTTGACGGTTGCGTTGACGACCATCGGCCAATCATACAACTAACGCTTGTGCACCCAAACGACCATAGAAATCGGTGCACCAAAAACTTTTACCAATTCCCCCTTATAGTTTCTGGAGAGGGAAAGTACTCGAAGCGTTGGATTTCCTTTTGCTTGGATCGTAATCAGAAATGAAATAACGTAACAGAAAGCCCTTTTGCAATACACCATATGTGACGCGGTTTCTCAGGGGGCAAACAAGTGAAAAAAATTGCCAATACGTGAAATCGCAGTCGAGTTTGTTCATTCTAGAACTTTTCGTCTTAAGGCGATACTGTCAGATTATAGGAGTGTTTTCCCATGATGTCGCGGAGGCCATATTGGTGTCCCAAAACAATGAAACAGTGGCCATGTTGGTGTCGCAAACCAGTCCTTTGGGAGTTGAACTCTTTTCTTATGCAAACGCTTTCTTTTATCCCGATAAATTTGCATAGATTCTGGCCAATGAGTGAAAACACTCTTAGGCTATTAGACCTATAAGGGTGGAAGTGATGATTGTTAATTCTTTAGATGGATTAGCGACCGTAGATTTCCCCACAGCAGGCAATTATGACGTAAGACTTGCCGAAACTCGAACTATAGAGCGTTTTCAGTCGCTTGGCCAGCATCTCTGCAGATTTATTGGAACAAAAGAAAGGGTTTACATAAAAAAAGAATTCAACTCCACTAGATTGTCTTGGAACACCAACATGGCCGCGGTTTCATTGTTTTGCAACACAAATATGGCCACCGTGACGTCATGTGAAAACGCTCTATACATTTTGGAAGACTATCAACAAATCGTCGTCTCGTTTTGTTAAAATAGAGACCTTTAAATTCTAAGACGAGTACGACTACGAGTTCGAGATTTTCGCAGTACTAAGTTGTGCTTGCGCGTGAGTCAGCGTCATTTTGGGGGGAAAACGTGATAGTCGTCAAATATGGAATATGTGAACTATTTTCACTAAATTCCAAAATATTCAAGATTCTCTCTTTGGTTATGAAGATTAGAGAGGTTGTAACTTCATTAATTTTTACAGCAGAGGTTGAATTAAATTACAAAATCAATAATGAGTCCGAAAATAAATTAATTTATTACATCTAATTCTAGTAAAGTACCCGACCGAGGATACAACGTGACGCCTATGGTAATGTTGTCGTGTCTGTTCCAAGCCTGCCAGCAGAGCCTTGATTTTGCTTGCTCAAATTTGGCGTACTCAAGAAAAACTCTGCTTGAATCGAGAAAGATCTTTGTTGAGCATGCGCGGCATGTCGTTAGGATACGATCTAGAGCCTAGGCCTACTAGCCGTGCACTTGGTACAGAGGGCTCGGCTATGACCACCGGTTTATCAATTAACGGATGCTAGCACTGAAGTAAACCTGTTTGACGAGAAATAAGATTGTCTAGTCCAGAAGTGTGGGCTGCGGCGACCAAAAAACCTCGGCGCAATTCAGGCTATGCGCAAAGCCTCCTTTTCTGCTCCTCATTCAAGAAGACAAAAGGAGGCTCTGCTTGCAAGCCGGGTGGTCTGTTCCAAGTCTATGCACGTCGCGGATCAATTAACGTTTCTGGGAAACTGCCCACCTACCCCTCCCCTAAGTCAGCATTAACATTTACTTCTCACTTAGGGCAAAATGTTGGGTTAGGGGACGGGTAGGTGGGCAGTTTCCCAGAAACCTAAGTAGGCCATTTCCGAGTTCCAAAAAATCTCACTTTCAAGGCGAGGCTAAGTGCGAAGCCATTGATATGAAAATGAGTTTTAATTTTGATGCAAATAAAACTCCTTTTCACAACAAAGGTTTCGCACTTAGCCTCGTTTTGAAAGTGAGATGTTTTGGAACTTGGAAATGGCCTATTGATCCCACGTCGCAAGGCCTGAAAGTTAGGGACGTGCTACATACTTACAATCACTGTAAGGTTGACTTTCGCCGTTGCACCAAGTGAATCTATGATATACACATTTAAATGTAGGTGATATAAATCCAGCTTATCTCCAACCGGTAGACGCAACTTTGAGCTTGTATCAAACACAGCCAAGACGATGTATCCGCTACTTTCATTATTCGACGGTATGTTCGCTTTGTATACCAGTGGAGTATCACTATCGACCCAGTTGTTACAAGCCAATTCATACTCATCACGGGCGGCTACTCCTGTGTCTCTGTCTATCGCACAAGTACCCCCTACAGGTGGGATGTTGGTGCGGAAATAGTAATAGGCGAACTCTTTGGCGTCGTATATAGTTGTCACTCTAAATTTTATCATATAGCTTTTTCTTTTTTCGAGAACGTTTTCCTGTAGCAGCATCGATAAAGAGCTAGAGGATGTCAATAAGTGACTGTAGAAGTTTTTTGTGGCGTTATAATCTGTTGGTAAGAAAAAATCAATTTTTTCTTCATCGACATTTCTAATTCCTACGATGAAAACAAAAGTAATAACAATAGTTGCAGTCAAACCCCATTATTGCCCAAACCTGTTTTCTTTGTCATACACTATAGTTTGAAACCCTCGAGTGCGACCACCTCCTGTAATCGACCACCAGTGCTTTGCATTTTGGATGACCACTGACGGTAATTTCAACTGTTATCAATATTAAAACTGAATGTCAATAACGCTAATTATTATTCATCGAACATTTTTCGTCGTTCCTGATTGGCTCAAATCCCCCGGCCAATTCGTCACAACCAGCTTGAGCTGACCAAATTTTGAGAATAAGGTACTAATTATCGAAACAATAAGATATAAAATATTCATTTGCCACCCATTGTTTGGGTGACAAATTATTCCTTCTTTTGGGCACGAAAGAGAGGATAATTTTTCGTTACGTCACGCTGCCGGGTAGCAAAATGTCTGAACCTTAACAAACCTTGGTCCTGCAAATATGGCAAAATAAAAACAAAAAAACAAAAGCAAACACCAAAAAAAAAAAAAATACTTTACTGTGCACCATTACACTCAGGAACAAAACAGTAGCCCGCTCTTTCCTTGCATCCGTAGACAATGCAAATAACCTCCTCTGTTAAGAGAGAATGTCGAGATCCAGAAATTTTGCTACCATGGTGACGTGACGTCACACTTCTCTTCTCTATTATGGAATTCTATCTTACCCTCCGGTCCCGGGAATGTCTTGTCACTCTCGTACATAAACCATTTGAAGTATAGTGTTCTTGAGCAGTCTGGACCAACACAGTACGCTTGCAGGCCTATACGCTGGCTTATAATAGCATTCGGGTCACAGTTTGAAAAGCAGCTGTAACATAAAAAAGAGGTTTTGATGCATCCCTCTCAGTGGCCCCAAGTTGTTCAGTGAAAAGGAACTTTGTCCGATATCACATATACAATGTTACTTTGAAACAATTTGGCCAGCCCAAAAAATGCTAATGAAAAGCCTTGGGTGAAAGGCGAGTGTGAAAGCCTAAGTTAAATTTACCAGGAGTTGTATGGATCGGCACAGTTCAAAATTAAAGTGCGCAGCCTTTTTTCGCCAGTAGTCTTGAGTTTAATTCCCGAGTGTGACTTCAAATCCTCCTTGTGCGTTCCACCCTATCAGTGTAGCTTTAAGAACTTCAAATACTCTTAAAACGGAACAATTATGAAAAGGGGGTGGGGAAGAGGGGGGAAATGAGCACGCCGTCAGCTTAAGAAAAGAGAACTTTACCCTTTACCCGGCTCTGACCTTAGTTGTTTTGCATTCAAAGGGGATTTTCAGGAACATATATCTGTTGTAGATTGGGATTCATTACGATGGCAAGCAGTTGAGATTTTGGCAAGCAATTTGAGGAAAGGGTCACCTGATTTGGGCTTTCAAGTTGGAAGCCTTATTGGTTTTAAAAATACTCTCTGAGGAGATGTCAGGTAAAGAACTCTTAACCATAAATTATGTTGCCATAAGGTTCTTCCCTGATGATTAAAACACCTTTAAAATACAGTTTAAAAATTGTGTGTCTTAAAAATTGCAAAAACCGTTACGAAAGAAAAATTCACGGCATCGAACTTTAAGCCTTGGCTGTTGTTTATTACCTGCCTTACCTGATATTAAATTTTGGTGGTGCCTTGGCAAGAACAATTGTTTGTCTGTAATCGCCCTTCCGATGTCCCTTCTGTACCACCAGTGCCATATAATATGTGTATCCCAGGAGCATAACACTATTGTCAAATGTTATGGAAATGTTGTTATTGGCTGATATCTTTCCAGGTCCCGTATTGAAGCATCCCCCACCAGGATGGTTAGAAACCTAAAAAATATATTATAAATATATTACATCAGCCTGAAGGTATAGGTTATTGCTTGCCTCCAAATAGTAGTTGACTTCTTTGCATCTTTGGTAATTGATGATGGTGATAATTATGATGATGATAATGATGATGATGATTTTGAGGATGGTGATCAAAAGGCTGAAGACTATGAGAAAAATAATTATGATAAAGGTGACGAGTATATAGAAGGATATGATGATGACACTAAAAATGTGATGTGACTTAGCTGATGATAATGTTCACGATTATGATTTGTTCACACATAGATCGCCATTTCCTTTACATGTGAAATGTTGAGCCCTTTAACAAAAAAGAGAAACAGCAGAGCCGACAAAATTAAACGCGCTATCAGAGACGAATTACGAAATGAGACTGGAAACTTCCATCGACTATCACGAAAGGTTTTTACAGACATTTTCAAATTGTTTAACAGTTGAAGATAAACGCTGATACTATTTCATTAAGTCTCGAGGCCGAAAGGTTTTAAAAGTATCGATTCAGTAGTTAATATCATTTGCAATAATCGTTACAAATTTTGTCGGGAAAAATGAATAAGAATAAATAGGAATTGATAAATGAAAAAAAAAAACAAACAAAAACTTTGATTCAGCATTTTTATAAAGGTTTTTCAGGTTACAAACCTCGAAGAAATGTCGACTCTCCAGCTCAAAACCTTTTCTACCTTGTAATTCGTGGAGGTCACGTGCTCTTTTTTAAAGTTTTCCACAGACCAGTTACTGGTGTTTAATTTATCAAAGACTCAGGTCAATCTTTCACGAGGAATTCAGTTTCTTCCTTGTTTATAAGGAAAGTTCTATTGCTTCAGAAAACATGATTAGAAAATAAATAACAAAAACAAAAACAAAGAAAACAAAAACCAAACAAACAAACGCCACGGTAACCTCGCTTTTGGTCTTGGATAAATCTTAATATCTAGCCGGATTTTTGAAAACGTCACCGCCAAATAGGCCTCTTCGGTTTTTTCGGCTAAAGTAGCTATTATGAAAAAAGTAAGAATGCAACCACTGCTTTTTTCGCTTCTCTTCCTTTGTTCCTCCTCGCTCTTTCTTTTTCTCTTTTTCTTGGCGCTTCGCTGGTGAAAACTGAAAAACTTGCCTTGTGGCCTTTTTCCACTCAAATGAGTGAAAATTTCGTTAATTTCGTTTCCAAAACAAAAAAAAAATCGGCTAGATATCAAAGTTCATAAATCGTCACACCTCACTTCCTTCTGGGGGTGTTGGGTTCGATCCGTCGGGGTACACCTTGTTTAAAATACCGAGATCGTTCAAATCCGGGGACGAGTCGCTACTTTTCCAACAAACCCAGGTGAAATTCATGTTGTCATAATTACCTGTGAAAAACAAACAGCAACAACAAACAACTGAGTGACAAACTATATTGTCCGATTAACACAGACACACGATACGTCAAGACCCGCAGATATCCTCAAGCTTGGCTGACCCTGTCGTTTATCACCAAGGCGAGTGCATAGCCCCAGGCGAAGGGTCTCCCCAGCGATTGCTGCCCCCGCATTTTACTGTCAAGGCGAGTGCAAAAGCACTCCTTTGACGACAGATCCGCCGTACATATGTGGTGGCTAAAATAGTTTAGTACACTGTCCGAATGAAATGGCTGTGCACATGAGTACGTTACTGGCCATTTCCCTGTGTTTGGTAATGAGCACTTCTCTTGTGCCTCAGTTTCGGTCAATATTATCCTCACGGCCTACCTGGCGTCTCATAAAAGTCAGGGTCGTAGGAGTCTGAACCGTCCAGCGTCATGCTTCGTTTTTCTATATACACAGCATAAGAACCTTGAGATATATAGGCATACAAAGGACCTTCAACGATCTTAAGGAAACCGTAGTCGTAGCCAATCTGTCGTGGATTGGTTGAGCTCTGGGCTGTGAACTGTACAAAGTAGAGTCCGTATAGCAAAGTCCGTGCGTTGAGATACCATGATTCACTCGTACTCATAGTTGTGCTTGCGCCTATTGTTACATTGTCCTAAAATAAACATGTGTAAACAATTTACCGTAAAATTCCGAAAATAAGCCCCTCCATGTATAAGCCCCTCCAAGTATAAACCTCCCAAACCGGTAACGCAAAAAACCCTCCGTTAAATCGCCCCTCCAAATATAAGCCCTCCGGGGGCTTGAACTTGGAAAACTGCCCTCAAATACAAGGTAAAACAAAGCAAAAACGCTAAATTTACTTCCAAATATAAAGCTAGCCCAATCGATTTGGAAACACAAATTTCACTCCGTAGATAAGCCCCTCCGAATGTAAGCCCCTCCAAAAATAAGCCCCTCAAAAAGGGCCTTTGAAAAATACAAGTCCCGTGGCTTATTTTCGGAATTTTACGGTAGTTCATATAATGAATGAATAAATGAATGAAAAATATTTTGGCAATATGGTTGCATTTAAGGGTAATGTTACAGGGAAGTCAAGCTTCATTAGTTACGTCAATTATCCACAAGCTTTATTGAAGGCCCGAAAGTAAATGTATCGTCTTTTAGAGTCTACTCATTTCTTACACAAGTTCTTGGTTCTCGTGTAGACAGGGTGTTAGTTAAAACTCAACGTATAGCGTCGTTTCCTTGATTTAAATCGGGTCGCATGAGCGGTTGGCGAGCACTCTCGCTGCTGCCGCAGCCTCTTTCTCTTCCCACTTATGACGTCATTACTCATTATAATATACAGATTTAGCCAAGGTCAAAAGTGAAGCTTCGGTGAGATTTTAAATTCTTTTTTTTTCCCGAGGTAATTCGACTTTCGTTGCACACAAGAGATAACCTGCATTTCTCTTAGAAAATAATAAACCTCGATTGAAAACCAAGAACTGGTCAGCGGAGAACTTAAAAACGCATCACTTCAACGAACTGTAAACCTGAGCCCGTGATACAGTCACGTGGTACTGGTCAACAGATAACCTTTCTTAACAGCTGTAAATCGACCATAACATAGATGTCCAGTATCAAGTTAACCAAAGACTGTATACCTTAAAATCCAAGCAAGTAAGTTTGACATTTCACATCCGATTACATGAGGGGGCGAATGTACGTACGTGCGAATGCACGCACTGCATAGATTGGACTTAATTACCCATGGTGCTCCACTGCGCACACTTCGCGTGCTGGAGCTCCGCTATATTCAAGGGTTACCTGTAAAAGGCGTGTGTGTTTGAGAAAGATCAAGTCACTCGTAACTTATATATATACCCCAAGATAATAATGAGAATGTGTTTTGTTCTATTAATTGTTCACAGAACGTAGCTATAGAGTAATATATATAATAATTAATAATTAGACACTGACCGATTCTAGAAGATAGAATTCCCACTTGTAACTCTTAGAATATGAACAGTAAAAGTAGCTGTTTCCATAAATGTAGTGAGTGTCAGCTTTCCTGTAAACAGTGGGAGACTTGTAGCTTGTAGAAAATGAAATGTAGGCATTAACATAAGGATTGTTTGAATAACACCGTCCTGTAGGCAGCAAAAGAATGAATATGCGTTAATGCTTTTAGCTTTAAGGTTGATGTAGAGGCGTAAACCGGTAAATGTTCCTGCAGCATAGAGCACCCAGGGGAGCGGATGATACCATCAACAGAAACATATTCCCTTTCAGCAAATGATATTACCGAGGAATTGCTTCCCACAAAATGGTAGCTAGATTTATGCAGCTGGTACTAAAGAAAACAAACAAACATAATAGAAAAAAACTGACGCAAAAAGGAATAATAGCAATGGAGGATCCAGGGGAGGAGCCCGGGGGGCCCACTTTCCGCCTCTTATTTTTAGAGGCCTGAAGGGGCCGAAAAAAATTTTTGGAGACCTCCCCCCACCTTATCTCAGAGTATGGATGACCGCCCCCTCCCCGTCCCCCGTTATCTCAAGGTCTGGATCCGGTGCTGAATAGAGAAGTTTCGACGAACTCAGTACTTGTAACCCTATTCAGACCAGGCTTTTTTTTAGCTTGCAGCGACCGTCCACCCCCGTCCTCTATAACTTCAAAACCCCTTTTGATAGGATAACCAAAATTACACAGAATAACATCTAGGCTTAATTCAATTGACACAATGACGTTATTTAACTTCATTATGACGTCATATTGTTCTATTTTTTGGCAGAATCCAAACTACATAAATTTTTCCTCTCAAAGCGGAAGCTACTTAAATTGTAAGGTGTCTGACACAATCGAGAAGTTTGACTCTGATGGATGTACAATGGGTCATTTCCGTGCTCCAAGGAGTCTCACTTTCGAACTGAGGCCAAGTGCAAAACCTCTTTTCTGAAAATAAGTTCCATTTTCATAATGGCGTAGAAAAAACTATCGCTGTGAAACAGAGGCTTGGGTAGGCTCGATTACCAGCCGCTGTTCGGGAAAATGAGCCCGCACTCATCCCCCGGGGAGGATCAAAGACCGGACCCGGGAGACGGCGGAAATCGAGCCTAAGGCTTGGGGCAATTCAGAAATGGCCTATTAGAGGGTCTCAATGGTGTGGTCAGTGGCGGGTCCAGGGGAGGAGCCCGGGGGGCCGCACCCTTATTTTAAGACCAAACCGAGGCCCGAAGGAGCGCCTTTTTTTGAGAACAGACCCCCCCCCCAACTTATTTAAGGGTCTCGATGACCGCCCCCCTACCCCACCCCTTATCTTAAGGTGTCAGGATCCAGCACGGCTGGTAGCTTTGAAGGGTGACTGTTAATTTTTTTCCAATTTTGACGGTTGACGGATAAATTTTGGAGGTTTTGATGGTTGATGGTTGTTAAGTGGAAATTTAGTCCAAAAGTTAACGTAAATAACAAATTCTTTATAAATTGATAGAAACTGTTGTGTTTTAGAGGTTTCTTGGCCTTTTAGTTACATAATTTGGAAATATTTTCATGTATAAGTAGGTTGTAAGGTATTGCAATATCTAGAAAGAGGGTTTTTGAGAACATGGGAACTGACTAATTTCAGTTCAGAAGTTCTCCAGAAGTCAAAATACCGTAAGAACAGCTGAAATAGTTAGATTTGAAATACCTGAAAACTTTTTGACGGTTAATCTTAATCTGCATATTTGACGGTAGTTTTTGCTGACACGTACCGCTTTTTTGTTGCACCTCGATGATTTCGGCTTGAAACCCCGAAGGAGTTTGACCAATCAGCTGATCAGCAATGTGGCCAATGTCCTGAAAGCTCGTCGGAAAAAGGTAGTGTGCGACCGATGTAGAGGGTGTCTCAGGTCTTAAAGATAAAACAAAAAGGGAATATTATCCCCTTCCTACAATATATAAGTCTAGCATCGGTAAACACAGTAATATAAATTATATCGTTGGTGAAATATTTGCCTAATCAAAGGTTCAGAAAATTATAAGAATTTTTTGACTAAACATGAATGCAAATATTTTTTTAAAATTTTACTCGTCGACATTTAATTAAATTTAGAGATACAGCGTTGAAGTGTAGTAAGAATCTAAAAGCAACGCAAGACTTTAATCAATCGTCCAAGACGCATATAATTAATAAGCCGATTAGCTTCGAGCACATACAGGTGCCAAGGGCAAAAGAAATTGACCAATTAAGTGGCAATGTTATTGGTCGTCTGTCAGTTAAGACGTGATGTTATTGGCTTTGAAGACTCGGAATGTCATTGGTGCCTTTCAATGCGTCTACTGCCCGTCTGTTGTTTTGTTATGCAAACACGTGACTCTATAGGTGCCTGGTAACTCAGCAGGAAGACACCATTTTGGATTATGCTAAAGCAGCGCTTTTCGTTTGAGCAGATGCTAAAAACTCTGAACAAGAGTTAAATTTCAAGCTATTTCTTCAGCTCAGTGTGAGAGCAAAAATATCGTACGGTTCGATCATCGTGATGGAAGTGCCCGCTCAAATTTTTTAACCGACTCAGGCCACTTAACATATGACTACCTAATTAAGCAGCCATATTTTGTTAAATGCTATTTTAACCGGTTTGTTTCCATCAGTGATACTGAAAAGTGAACTACGAATGTGGCTCAACGAAAGGAAGACAAAAAAAACGTGAAACGTGATTTTGAATACCATGTGACATTGCTTCGTCAATGATGTCACAAAACATGTTTTTCTAAACGGAGAATGGTTGCAAACCTTAATCGTACGAATTTTCACCCCCAAAATGTTACATAAACAGTGTAAATCGTAAATTCGCATTGTATGATTGGAAATGTTATCTATCCTGTTAGCTATTTAACTAATTAACAAGTCACGTGACCCTTTTCCCTTTATTTACCAATTCCTATATCATCCGTATCAACACACATACAAGGCGAATCGTTCAGAAACCTTTTTAGCGTCTAAAATATACCTAAAAGAACTTGTTGCTCTTTCACTATCCTTTCCCCATTTAAGAGTAAATATTTTGATCGTTAATTCTCAATTATAAGTCACGTGACAAAAATTTGAACGTCTAAAATATCTCTTATTGCTAAGGCCATTAAGCTACATTATATTAGTGGTCCAATTTTCAGGATTATAGATAGAAGAAAACCGTTCTAAATAGCATTTTATCAAAATGTGCATATTTAATTAGATAGTCGTGCCTTAAATGGCCTGAGGATCGTGAATTTGTCCAGTGCCGTACGAACCATAATCCTAAATATAATGAACTCACCTGAACCACTGAAGTGTAAATGTGCCAACGCCACAAATCTTCTGTGTGTCTAGCATCTCTACAAGCTGCAAACAATTAACGAGACGTTTATGTTACAGTCAACCTGCGAATACAGCCTTCTCTCCTCGGTCTTTAACTAGCAGTATTTTAAAGTCTATCATTTTTGTTGTTTGAAACGTTTGATGTAGTGCTTGGGAAACACATTTGTTGAACAGAAAGTTATCATTCTGTCACTGAAGAGTAATTTCGCAGGTTTCACAGCAAGTAAGGACACGCAACTGACTTTTTAAACAAATGAACTGGACAACCGTGAAAGAGCCTCCTTAAAGAGAATTCTAATAGTCAGGCTTGTCTTAGTTTGGGTGAGGAGACGACTTTTTCTGTTTTTTCTTTTCTTTACACTCTTCAAGTGGAAGCAGCCGGACCAGAAATGTGGCTGCGTTGGCAAGCTAGGCCTATCCAGCGTGATCAGCTTGTTCCAAAACAGTGCAGAAAGACGTAATAATGGCACTAATGTGAATTTTTTTCGAAATGTTTTATTTTCATAAGTACATAAGTGCCCTAATCGTCAAATAACAAAAAGCAACTTACCCACGAAGAAATGTTGCCGTTTACACTCACGTAATCTGGGGAACTTGCGTCAAACATGTCAAAGTAAGTTGTGAAATTGTTCTTTTGGATCCTGATCCATATCATGACGTCGTAGTCTGTAATTTGTTAAGAAAATGTTAAGGGGGCATTACGGATGGTTTTTGGGGGAAATGATGTTGATTTGGGAAGGAAATAAATTTGGGTAGAAAAGATATACACATAAACCAGCTAATCCGCTTATACTACTACATGAAAAATTTCTGCAATTTGATTGGCTTAGAGCAATGGTATTTCAGCTTAATTTGAAATACCTACATGTGGAGATTACAAACCTTTTGTGGGTAGTAGTATAAGCAAATAATAGCATATTTTGTACGTGATATTTGGCATAAATACCACTTGTGATATTTCAAAATTGTCTCAAATTTCACTCGCCTAAGGGCTCGTGAAATTACGTATGACAATTTTGAAATATCACTCGTGGTATTTATGCCAAATATCACTACAAATCATGCTATTACCTATACTAATGGGATCAGAGGCACGTTGTTGTGGTGGTGGACTATCTAGTAATTGTCTACTTATTATTCACTTCATATTTCAATTTTTAACAACCCCCAAATCCAATATTTCCTATTTTCCCAAAATTTTAAACATTTCCCCAAATAATTATTGAATTAAGGACTGTAACTTAATTGAGTCATTTTTTTTAGATTGAATGAAATCTTGGCTGGATATTTAAGAAAAAGGGTGGAAATCAACGAAAAATAATGCTTTTAACCGTACTGTCCCCTTAATAGTCATTCAAGACAGGTCACGAGGTAAACGTCATGCCGATTCCTTTAGTAAGTCGTTGCCGCTACTATCCAGCTTACGAACGCAGACGTATTTCCGGTCGTCGCTTCTCTCTCGATCCAAAAAGTAACGTCCACGAACCCGAGCCTCTCAGACGTTACTAGCCAATCACCTTTTAGCTCTTAAAAACCAAGAACTACCTCACGAGAACTCACGCAAGATCGTTTCTTTTTGGGTGGAGAAAAGCGACGACCATCTATTATCAAACAGACTAATTTTGAGTAATTATTAGCAGACTTCATACTTAACTCCGAGACAGACGGGAATTAGTATAGGTAATAGCATGATTTGCAGTGATATGTGGCATAAATACCACGAGTGATATTTCGAAATTGTTATACGAAATTTCACGAGCCGTTAGTCGAGTGAAATTTGAGACAATTTTGAAATATCATGAGTGGTATTTTTGCCAAATATCACGTACAAATCATGCTATTATTTGTTTATACTACTACCCGCAAAAGGTTTGTAATTTTCACATGTAGGTATTTCTAATTAAGCTGAAATACCACTGCTCTAAGCCAATCAAATTGCATAAATTTCTCATGTAGTAGTATAAAACAATAGGAATTGACTACTACTCATGATCATTTCTGACTGATGAGAATTTCAATCACATTTCTTTAGTATACTCCTCAGCATAGGTCCAGCGACTCGCCACCATGGGACCACCATAAAGTCGCACTGTTTAGAGCTTATAAAACCTAAAAATTGTCATACCCAGTATTTGTTTTATGCTATTTCAATCTTGAGAATTTTTATTTATTTATTCATTTAGGAAAATTTACTTACAAACAAAACTAACAAAAACAAAGACGAGAGCCGCACACCAAACAGAGCGGCGATTATTCAATTTTAAGTGTGCCCTTGGGAAAATTTTGAACTGAATATTTGCATGATTTTGTATGACTATATATTAAGTTTTCAGACTTTAATCTCATAATTTTGGCATGATATAAATCTCGTTACCTGGAACAAAATCGAGTCACATGAATTTAGTTCTACTCTACTTCTAGACGCTCTGGGGTGGGATAGGTTGATGAGACAAAAGCTCAAGGCCATCATGATTTTTCAGTTCTTTACATAACCTTTCTTCGATGTATCTCCACGAAATGTTTCGCAAAATTCAATTAATGCTTATTGTGATTTAAGAAACTCAGTAAGTTACAAACTTGCATTGCTTAAGGTGGCTGAACACAGTTTTAGCAGTTCATGAGTATATTTCATTTGCCAAACCTTAGCAAGAGAAAGGTTGAAGCTCACAAGCGGAAACTTGGCAAGTGAAAAATATAACGATGAAAGATTTTAATTGACAGGTAAAATGTCACGTTTTCATAGTTTCTATGGCAGCATGAACGACTGAATACAACCTTCAATTTCACTTTTGTTCAGTTTACATAAAATCCGCTCATTAGATTTTCCTATAAACTTGCACACAGCTTACAATAACTTTTTATTACCATTTGAAACTTATTTGACCAAATGTTAATTGTACTATATTTATTAAATGTGTCGCAAAATTCGTCTGTTCAACTTCCATTTTAAAGTTCTCATTATTTTAAATACGTTAAAAGTAAAAATTATGCCAAATATCACAAAATTTTAATGAGTAGATTTTGAGAAATCGTCTTCTGTGTTTCATTGCTTTTTCGCCGCGATGGTTGTTCATTGTCACAAAACACGCGCCCTCCCGCGAATTACCGCTGACCGCCCGCAAAACTGTGTTCAGCCACCTTAAGCCAAGAACCTGAAGCGCAGCTTTTCCTAAAGTGGTGCTGCCCGTTGGAATTCACTGTCTCGAGATCTTATAATTACGGAACATAATAAACCGTTTGGAAGTTTCTACAAAGATGTTTGTAACTTACTATTCTTCTTTAGGCTCCCACACGGCAATCATTAAAATCAGTTTGGTTTAAGTAGTTTATATTTATTTAGAATAATTATACTTTTAATATCATAGGTGACGAATTACTCCTTAGTTTTGGCGCGAAATTTCAGTGATAATTTGTAATTTCACATGTGCAATGACAAAATTGCCATGGCAACCTTCTGCACGTCTCAGTGTCAAGATGGCGAAGAAGTTTTAAAATGTCGTAAATGAGGATGCCAGGGCATAAAAAAGACGCTTTAGAAAACCTGAACACACGAAAGAGCACATCAAGAAGGATTCTAACAGGTGTTTTGTCGAAAAATTCTGAACTTAAGCCAAATTTAAGCTCTAAACGTTTGAGAGAGTGGAGTTCTCGATCGATACGATCCAGGATAAACATATCAAAAATCCAAGATTGCGAACGTAATTCGTCACCTATGATATTAATAGGTAATCAAATGGTATACTCGTGAAATTAGGGAATAATTTCACGCGCGTTTTGTCCAAATCCTTATAATTTCCAGAGCCTTTAGGCTAGGGAAATTATTAGAATTTGGACAAAACGCAAGTGAAATTATTCCCTAATTTCACTCGTCACCATTTGATTACACATACTATCTAATGATTTCCTGTGTATGAATAAATAAATAAATAAATAAATAAATAAATAAATAAATAGATAAATAGATAGATATATAAAGCTTCAAAGGGCCTATTAAAGACCTTTAGATTCGAGGACACCGACGTTTGAGGACAAGATTTGACTTCAAGGTTTTTTTCCGAATGTTTTCCGAAGCAAGAAACTTTTTATAAAGAAAAACAAGACACCTCGGAAACATTTATTTTACTTCTTTTTCACCAGACAAGGACATTTTTAAACAGGGAGGTTGAGTCCTCTTCCGATGTCAAAATGATAAAACTTCTAACATTTGACAAATTGTTCCCGTCACTACGACATTTTCGCTTAAATTCAACGGAGAATTACGACGCTTACCACGTTTTCTCGGTAAAACAACCTTGGTTCACGTGCGCGCACTACGTAGTATAGAGAAAATCTTATTGGTTCTCATATTGGTCCCCTTCTTAGAATCTAAAGGTCTCTACTGATAAACTATCTTACCGTAGTCAAAAGTGTAGACGTTCATCTTTGTAGAGCTACCATATCCGTTTCCACATTTCGTCAAATAATAGTAGCACCTACTGTAACAATAATAATAACAGTAGTAGTAGCAATACTGATTGGTTGTCCTCTCATAGTCGTAGTAAGAGTAATCACTCTTTGTCCAGGAGGATCTGCATTCTCCATTATCGAACAAAGCGAAGTATTTATAGCCCCTGCCCATGGCAGCCTGTGCACACTTTGTAACTTTGTTGCTCCTGGAGGAGTGGCCATCCAGCAAGGCAATATCTTGTCCTTCAATGGATGGCACTCGAGGAGTGTAACTACTGGATGTCTTGTAGCAATAGTAACTTCTGTAATAATACACTAGTAAATAATAATGAAAAAAATGATTAAGTCAAGGTCAGGAATAAGAGTAATGGGATTCCATAGAGAGGGAATCTCAGGGCGTTGGCCGGGATATATGAATTCTTCAGTTGCCCACTCTTAACACCATCTGGAATGAGTGCGATTTGCATCTCAGGAGTCCAATCAAAACGCTGTTTTCCCTCTATGGGACTTATTTATTTTGTCCGGGTTTGGCTGGTCAGTACAGTTTTGGCCTTTAGCCATTTTGTAGACTTTGTAGAGGCGACCACCAGTTTGAATTTTCGGGACAAGTAAATTCAACGTTTGCTAATTCTTAAAACAAAAGCCGATTGCCTATCGTGCTATTCTTTAAAAGGTACTTTTTAGTTTTAGAAGCACTATAAATTGCTCCAAACCTTGCCCTGAAGTAGAATGACTCGTTCTTCGACAGTTTTAAAATATCCCTCGGCAGTTTTGGCTCAAACTCCTGCTGCATACATTTTGATGTATTGCAATGCATTTTCTATGATTTTTACTGCTGTTCGTTGCTTCCAACTCAGGAAAAAAGTATTGAGATTGAACGCTACCTCGTATCAGAGCTCAGATAGAACTGTCCAGCACCTTTGTTTATGACTACAAAATGAGCACGAGCGGCAATTCTGCGAGGAATTCGCACCTCACCCAGGGGGGACAAGCGACAATGATGACGACAATGAAAAGTACCTTTTAAAGAATAGCACGATAGGCAATCGGCTTCTGTTTTTAGAATTAGCAAACACTGAATTTACTTGTCCCGAAAATTGAAACTTAATAGTGTCTCCTTCTTCCTGATAGTAATCTATTTTTGAAATTCCAAAACAATTTCACAGCTGAATTTTGAGCGACTTTTAGTTACGGACTTCTGCTCCAACGATTCTTCTGAAATTCCTCTGGCATATTTATTATATCAATTAAAGCCGATACCAGAAATTTCAGTAAAAAATATCAGCAAAATGTTTTTACTAGACGCGATTTTCTTTGAACAGTAGGGTCCTTTTAAGCGCTAATTTCTCAAGAAATATTTACCATCAATGAAATCGGAATATTTCGTATTATTGCCGAATGATATCTGTTGTTTTTTGCAAAGTTTCGCAGCCATCGGGTTAAAATCGAAAAAGTTATGATGGAAAGTTTGTCACAGCTAAATGCTCTTGTATTAATTACGGAGCCACCTTGAGGTGACTCGACCCAGTTTTATTTTCGGGGTACCATCCTACTTTGAAGCTCTCTGGTATCCCCACATTTACTTTTATTGTAAGTCTAACACATAGAATGGATAACATATAGATCAATCTACAATATAACATAAAATTTTTGGCGATCGGGGTAAATGTCACGTGGTTATAATAGTGCCTTGCGCTGAACAGAGTTTCACCAAAATCGCAAAGACCCAATTCGAGAAATTCAGCGGTTTCCAAATTTAGGTCATAATTTATGCGAAAATGGTAAGCAAACTTTACACGGATTATATCTTATAAACTATGAGACTGATCTCTTTATTTTGGGCATCCTTATAACGGATGGGTCCTTGCAAGTTAGCAAAACGCTTTAGGGCCTTGTAAATGCGCGCGATTTCGAGCAAAGCAAACATATAGAAATTATAGTTTTCGCTATTTGTTGACGTTTGTCAGCGTTTAAGAGTCCTTCTCACGAAAAAAGCATTTTCTTAAAAATTCGTAGTTTTTTTTCCTTCAAATTTTTTCAGGGCCACAATTGATTAACTAACTACCTGGACTCTGAATTTCATGGCCATTCAAAAACTGTGACATTATCTTCTATAAGCCCAAAATTGAGTAAATATTGAAGATTTTTAGCGTTTTGGCTGAGTTTGTGCTTTGGGAGTTGTCTATTGTTTCTAGTCTGTCATTATACAGCATTCTTGTTCAGCACGCGTGCAATGACCACGCTTGGCTGACTTCCGAATGCTCATCGAGATACTCCCGTCACGAGTTGGTTTAATTATTGGCTTGCATTAAACCTATGAAAAAATGATATTTTTTAATAGTAAGTAGATTTAGTGTGTAGCACTTCTTGATTTTTTTGCAAAGGCACAAGAAGCACGACAATTGATTAAAAATTGTGAGTTAAACCTCTATGTATCACGCGATGGCCTGTCTCACTGTACCAAAATTATAATATCTCGGTGAGCATTCGGAAGTCAGCCAAGCGCGGTCATTGCACGCGTGCTGAACAAGAATGCTATATCATGACAGACTAGAAACAATAGACAACTCCCAAAGCACAAACTCAGCCAAAACGCTAAAAATCTTCAATGTTTACTCAATTTTGGGCTTATAGAAGATAATGTCACAGTTTTTCAATGACCATGAAATTCAGAGTCCGGGTAGTTAGTTAATCAATTGTGGCCCTGAAAAAATTTGAAGGAAAAAAAACTACAAATTGTTAAGAAAATGCTTTTTTCGTGAGAAGGACTGTTAGACGCTGACAAACGTTAACAAATAGCGAAAACTATAATTTCTATATGTTTTCTTTGCTCGAAATCGCACGCATCTACAAGGCCCTAAAGCGTTTTGCTGACTTGCAAGGACCCATCTGTTATAAGGATGCCAAAAATAAAGAGATCAGTCTCATAGTTTATAAGATATAATCCGTGTAAAGTTTGCTTACCATTTTCGCATAAATTATGACCTAAATTTGGAAACCGCTGAATTTCTCGAATTGGGTCTTTGCAATTTTGGTGAAACTCTGTTCAGCGCAAGGCACTAATGCGCACTATGTGTAGCAGAGAGATTTTCACGAAAAAATGCCGGTAACAGCAGATTTTCGACTCAGACCTCAAAGGGGCGTGGCATTATAACCACGTGATATTTACTCCGATCGCCAAAAATTTTATGTTATATTGTAGATTGATCTATATGTTATCCATTCTATGTGTTAGACTTACGATAAAAGCAAAGGTGGGGATACCAGAGAGCTTCAAAGTAGGATGGTACCCCCCCAAAAAAACTGGGTCGAGTCACCTTAATGCCTTGACATCTTCATTAAAAACATTTGAAAAATTCGTCGCCATCTTGGCACTGAGGCTTACGGAAGGTTGCCATGGGAATTTCGCAATTTCACGTGCGAAATAATAAATTAAAGCTGAAATTTCGTGCCAGAATTAAGGAGTAATTTGTCACCCATGAAATAATAATAATTTTAAACGTTGATTAATTGTAATGAGCAAGCCAAGTATATTTGAAAAGGTGTTTGATTGATGCTTCGTGGAGAAACTGCCTCGTTGGCCAATCCCCACTTACCGTAGTACGTTTGAACTTTTAAAGAGCAGTTCCACGTTGATTCAACAGTTGGTAAATATTTGAAGAAAAGCAACCACAATGAAAGCGTTATCGACCAAACAGGTACAGTAGCCATTCAAAAGAGTTCTACATAGGAATGATATAAAGCATGTCAAAGTTAAAATGTGGAAAGAATGGCTAGCTTAAAGCAAAAAGGCAGACAAAATCATGTTTACTAATCAGTCCAAAACAACTTCATTTCACTCTTATGATAACTAGAACCATCCAGTTATTTTGATCAGTTTCATTTTCATGGCACTTAGGAAATCAACAATATTAGCATTATGCTTCGTCTTTACCGTTCTTCCTTTTGCTCACTTAATATAAGCTCAACTTCTTAATTTCACCGAAAAATTATGCAGAAGAAGAGGTGTCATGGTCGGGAAGGACACTTTTTAAGCTTAATCATATTAATGGACTGATAATAAAACTGAAACGAGACTCGGTTCATATGAATGCAGCTGTTCAGTCGGTGAATCTTCTTCGTATATGCTGTCTATAGGTAGCCATTACGACTCCGGAAGGAGGATCTCAGGAGGTTATCCCTATATTAATATCTCTCCTTACCGGATAGTCCACCCAGCACGCCCAGGAAAGGTTGGCCACACCACAACCAGTGTCTACGTCCCCTACTCTTCTCGAACAGTGCCGGGTTCTTTTACTTCCCACAAAAACCAGATAGGTGAAAGTGCTGTGAGACGGGACCTCCCTTTTTTTTTTCTTTTTTCCTCCTTATCGGAAAAGACTAGAAAGTCTAACAGGTTGCAGATGTTTTTGCAAGGACAGGAGTTTCTTTTAAGTTGTTTAAATACCCTTAGTGTTGTTCAGGCCAGGGTTTGAACCCACGACTTCCAGCTCAGCTTACAGACAGGCGTTCTCCCAAATGAACTTATCAGGCGGTAGTCTACCTTGTAAGTAGAGCCATTATCTAGATTTTGAAGTTTAACATTGTTTCGCGCCAACTAAGAAGTCAAGAAGTACTTGTGAACTTTGCTGAAACCAGTACAATGGCATTTGATCGTCTCAGCCAAAAAAATATAACCTGAAAAACACTGTCAGTATTTGTTTTTACGCATTGTGTGTAATATTTTTCCATGACGCTCAAAAACGAAGCAACACAAAGCAACTAATTAGCCGTTTTTCTATATCGCTGCTGGTCGTTTCCCTGTCAATAACATTCTTTTCAGTTGCAACTCATACCTTCGTTTTCGCTCTGAAACACATGCAATACAGATGAAGATATCTATTCAGAAATTCTTCTTTATTTTATTGACAGCTCTTTTCTAAGAATATTGGAATTTGAGGCAACATTTCTCAGACACATACTTTCGGCAAAATTTTGGCAGCCAAATAGACGTTTAATTTCGATAATTTTTTTTCTTTACTATTTTTTGCTGATTCACCCAATTAGCTGTTTTTTTATATGTCGCTGCGTGTCGCTTCAGTAACATAGTTTTCAGGTGCAATTTATGCTACCTTTCCTCCATAAAATGAATGTAATAGAGTACCACATATAGTTTTGTTTTTTCACGTTTCCCGGCAGTTGCAATGCAACAAAATTTAACAAAAATACCAATAAATATGAAAAACAAGGGATATTAACCAACTTTTAAAACTTCTTGAGGTAAACTTAATAGCTTTTAGGTCCATTGTACTATCTTGGAACTGTTTCACTCCTTCTTTCAAGCCAATCCAGAATTAAAAATATTTCAGTCTTAACGATATTTTAAGAATGAAAGGATACACAGCGATCATTAAGCAGCTAATATTTGCCAAGATATCACAGGTTTCTCATTCACTAGCTGAAGAAAAACAACAATAAAAAAGGATCCTAAAAGAAAAAAGAAATGTAGGTTGAGGACGATTTGGAAGAAAATTGCAATTAAACAAAAATATATTTTTAAAAAATGCTGCTTAATTCCGTTACAGCTGCTTCATTTGTCCTCAACCATTCAAGTTTTAATTTTCTTCCAGGTGCTTAATTTTGTCTTTGCTTTCCCCTGTCTATCAGGCGTTTTTTGTATCTTTTGCTGTGATGGTTTCCTCTTATTTCGAAACAAATTCAAGCTGAAACAAAATTAATTTTGGCTTTTAAAGGGCTTATAAATCGTCCCATCTATTAACTATAATTTTAGTTGGTAAATTGTGAAGAAAACATTGAATTTCTTGAAATGCCCTTATCTGGATTAAATTTAGTGCTTTCTTCTATTAACGAAGAAAAAAAATTATAGTAAAAAATAAAAAAAAAGAAAGAAAGAAAGACAATTAATAATTGCTTGGTAGTTAGTTAAGAGCTCACCTTGCTTGATTTTTTTGGTGCGACGGAAACTAAATTCAGGTATGTACACGCGTTGTGTTTCCCTTATGGGAACAGGTAGTTAAAAAGGTCATCCTCAAAATTTCACAACAAACGAAGACTTTGTTGGTGAAAAATATAGGCACAAAAAATGTTTGAGAAAGTTACCGGGAGGGAAAATTCTGACAAAGGTGACAAAAATGTTAAAAAAGTAATTATAACAACACTTACCAGGCAATATCTTCCAACGTTAAAGAAAGTACAAAGCTGTTTGCGTGCACATGCCTTATGTATTTGTGTAGTTAAGGATCGCTACGTCCTGATAAAAGTCTCAGGGAACAATTCTAGTTTTTTCTTTTATTAAGTACCTCTAATAGTTTTAGCTCTGTGGCAGTGCTTTTGTTAATCACACCTCAATTGTTTTCCGGCTTTGTTTGGCAAACTATTTTTTATTTTTTGAGATTCACCAAAATCAACTCTTTTTGGCCGTTAATGTTATAGTGGTTTAAGAAACTGCTGGCAGAAATTTGCCACGTCAATAGCCAAAAATACAAGAATCTGTTTAGCCAAGATAAATCAAGTAGGTTCTTATATGTGGGTTACGGATAAATGTTGACGAATGTTTTAAGCAAGGAGTTTTAACTGGAGGTTGCATGCAAATTGATATTACAAGGAAAAAATTATACTGTACCAAACTGTAATTATTTAGCTATAATTCCTACCAACAAAAACGAACCCTCGTTAACTCGAACCTCCCGCTAACTCGAAGTACTTTTTGTTTCGATTCAGATCATTTCTATACAGTTCTGCCCTCGACAACTCGAACCATGTTATAAGCGCATGAAAAGCCGGGAAAATTTATTTCAAAACAACCGAGTCAATTCTCTGACTTTACTTTTTTGTCATTCCAGTTCAAATTCAGTGTCCATCCTTGTATACTTTGTTGCTTAATTACATTCCCTCCCCATCCATTTGCTTATTTCCTTAGTTCCGGTTATTTGCGTCGAAATCCCGATAACTCGAACTTTTTTCGATTTCCTTTGAAGGTTCGGGTTATCGGGAGTCGACTGTAAATCCAAAGTTTTAACACCCCCTTCGCTCTGACACAACGATAGTAGACGATGACAAGAAAGATGCTCCATGAAATGAACCTGCTCGAGTCCAAAATAAAATGGATGGATGGATTGATTGACTGATTCCCTTTATTTGACTGATTGAGTTATTGAAGGTGGAAATTGACATCTTCACTCCAGGTTCACCATTATGTAACTCGACTAGCCTCTCAGTGTAGGCCTCATTTTTGTAGAACTAATATTAAGCAGTTCAGTATCCTTTATCTGGAATTCTTTGCCAGTTACACTAACCAGCTCCTCTTCCATATTTGTTTTTTAAAAAAAAAATCTGAAAAATTCTAATTGATACATAGTCGTTCTGTCGCTTAAGTTTCTGCACACTCTGCAATCAAGTAAGCCTTTGTAATATAGCTTCAGTAAAGAAAACCTATTTTAAAATATGAGCTCCCAGCTTCTTTAGGCTTCCTTGTCACAAAAACTTATATTCTAATTAACACCTCTTGTAGCGTTTTATTTTTATGTAATGTGAGTGACTAAAAAAACCCAAATAAATCACATAATTGAAGTTTAAGCTGCAAAACATGATGGCTATAACGAGGTTTCTCTGTACAGTGGAACCTGGAAATGGCGCGATATAACGAACCTCTTTATAACGAAGTCCTCGGTGTAACAAAAGCTTTTTTTACCTCATTAACAGTAAAATATATGAGTTACCTCAACATCCGGTCGTTTTGTAATGAAATGAATGAAATCTGGTAAATTCAGTTGTAATAACCAGACGTTTGGAGATTAAAGAAATTTAATACAGACAGTATGTAATTATGTCATTGGTGCTTCTTGGATATGAGATGGCTCTAGCCAACTCTGTGCTCATGGAATGACATTGTTAATCGTTTGCTTTGAGGCAGTCGCGCTTGGACGACTCGACGACGTTAAAATGTGTTTAAAATGTGCGGACGTGTCAGGAATTAGACTTTCGTCTAATTACAGCCTCAAAAATAACTTAGGTGAAATTCACATATCTCGGCCACTGCATTAAGATTCCTTCTCTGTCCCATTGTTTTCTTTTGGTTGATTATATATTGTTGAAGGGAAAGTTGCGAAATTTCAAAGGTAATTCTTATAAATACAACGAAACAACTGAATGAATAGCCTGTGAACAGGCTCTCAGTTTGGGAAAAGGGTGAAAAAAATCCCGAGGAGAGGGAAGAGGGAGGGTCACCCCTTCCCTCTCCTCGCGATCTTTTGCCCTTTCCCCAAAGAGAGCCTGTTCGCAGCTACTGAATGAAGAAAGATAGAACGTGATTAAGTAAACAAACTCACCAAAACAACTCAAGGTTATTTGCAAATGGAGTGGCTTTATTGCAGTCTGTATTTACGTTACAACTTTAAATGAAAGGTCAGCGTTTTTGTCAAAGAAGCTTGACAACATTAAATCGCGATACATTTGGATAGTTAGCAGGTGCTTTTTCAGTAATCCTTATGACAACTGTTTTTTTGCAATACGCCACTTGTTTGTTTACATGCAATGAGACAGGCTTTACCCATAGCAACGCCTCACATACACACAATAGAGAATGTTGCAATGGATTATTCTGCAGTAAACACGTCCTCGGAAGATCCAACACCTTTTTAGGCAGCGTCGTCTGCAAAGTCGTATGAAACGGCAAACTCTCGGGTCAGACTGTTCTACGGGGGAAAGGTAAG